CACCAAGACGAACATCCTCACGCAGTCAAGCCGGATCCACGCGATGAGCCTAGTGCACATTTCCGAAGTCTGTCATGGAGGCGGCGGTGGCGGAGCCGCCCCCAGCGGCCGGCGGCGCTCCTCCCACCGCTGCCCTCGTCGGTCGCCCGACATCGTAAATCGTCGCCGGCATCGGCACCGTCGGCGCATCAAAGTCTGCCGTCCGGGCCGCGCCGTCGCCCGACCGGTTGGTCCTAAATCAGCGGGCCCCGCTCACGGCCGGCGCCGCCACGGCTCGCCGCTGAGTTACGGCACAAAAATTACATCATAAAACGATGAGTTTGGCGGCCGGGGTAAGTCATCAGCGCACCCGATCGTTAGTTGCGTCGGTCGCGTCTGCGGTGGCGTTCCGACCGTCGTATGTCAGCCGGCTGACCACACGCCGAACCACGGCGTGATGACGTCACAGCGGAACTACCGGCGTACTGACGTCACACCGGAACCTCTGAGAGGCTAACGACACTGCGGAACTACCGGGAGACTGGCGACACGGCAGAACCACCGGGAGACTGGCGACACTGCGGAACCACTGGCAGCTAACGACACAGCAGAACCATCGGCAGACTGAGGACACAGCAGAACCACCGGCAGACCGATGACACAGCAGAGCCACCGGCAGACTGACGACACAGCAGAACCATCGGCAGACTGGCGACACAGCAGAGCCACCGGCGGACTGGCGACACTGCGGAACCACCGGGAGACTGGGGACACTGTGGAACCGCTGGCAGGCTAATGACATAGCGGAACCATCGGCAGACTGACGGCACAGCAGAACCACCGGTAGACTGACGACACAACAGAGCCACCGGCAGACTGGCGACATTGCGAAACCTCCGGAGGACAGGTTTCACAGCAAAACTGCTGGCAGACTGACAACACAGCGGAGCCACCGGGAAACTGGCGGCACTGCCTACACAGCGGAATCACGGCCAGCCTGATGGTACCACAGAACCATCGGCAGGTAGGCGATGCTGCAGAACCACTGGCGAACCAGAGGCATGGCATGATTAATCACTGGGAACACTCAAATATCTGGCTTCCCGAGTATCATAGCATTAGAAATGTGCGTACATTTCACATTGAGCTCAGCGGTGACAGCGAACCTGCCGGCTTGCTGGCGCGATCTCTCCCCATCGTCGCTGGTTGGCGCGCCGGACGGGTAGCTGTGTCGCCTAGTCCCGGACACCCCCGGCTGAGATCGGCCCGGATGCTGACGCCAGCCAGCGTTCGCAGAACGGTGAATCAGTCCTCGCGCGCGCCCCTGTTTCAGGAACTACACGCGTAACTCCTGCTCCCCGGCAGTCCGGCGACGCATTCCACCTCTCAGCATTTCCGCCTCTATTCATCGCCTAATTGGCGGTGTTGGGGCTGTGATTAAAGGCTGGCTGATGTCATATTTATCATCAGTCTCTGGGGCTCTCCACGTTACTATTGTGCTTCGTATGTGCTTGCTTCACCGTTGTGCTGCTCGCGATGTCTTACTGCTTCCGTCGCCCACAGCACATTCCAAAGTCATCTAGAGCAAATGTTGTAAAGCATGTCCATTCATTCATTCATTGTAGACACAGTTCCGGATAAAAACTGGAGCATGCCAATGGTTAGATTATTGGGTTCAGCAGGGCGGCAACCCACAATAAACTTAAGAAATTACTTTCAGATAATAGTGACAGCTAATGGCACAGGATTCGCTGATTCATGGCAAGTTCAAAACACTTCTTAAAACGCTACAACGTTATGGCTTGATCCCAAATATGTTGTCATGACGTTTTATGCCTCCTGGACTTATCGCCTCTCGGTGAATAGACCGAGGCGAGGCGAGACCAGAGAGACCAGTGGCGTACGTCTTCAACCAGACGTACGCCACTGCTATCTGATGAGAGATCTCCATAGGTAAGATTTACATGCCCGCACCCACTCTGTATCTACGTAGTCCTCCCGTGCCCGGCCTCTAGCAGTTGCCTGCAAGCCTTATCCGCCCATTACCCGTCGGTTTGCCCTGTTTGCAAATATCTGTACAGAAAGCACGCCAATGCTTAAAAACATTTAGAGGGTCTGAATACGCATTAAGTCTTCCTGCGATGTAAATATTTCATACTTGATCAAAGCACAGGAAGAGGACACAAGCCTCATTATTTGCTTGGAACCAAAAATTTGATTGGACTTTACCGTGTCTTTGAGCTCAGTCACCGCTCAGTCATGGTCATTTCCGCCAGTGTTGCTGCTTACGAAGCCGATCTTATTGTTTATCTGCATTACATTTGCCGTGTACGACTTTAGTTTGAACAAAGTGCAACAGCATGACACTCGATTTCTCCGGATTTTTTTACCCATCAGCATCGACATTATACATTTACTTAAGTCATGAAGGCACTTGATGAAATTCAGAAGTCACTTAGTCATCACTACCAATTTACTTTCGCATATTAACACTCATTTCTTTTCATCATGTTGCCAATGCGTAACAGTCCACAATCTCACAGGGTGAAGTTGACGACTGCGGCAATCTTCAACCTCCGCTGAGTCAGCTGGTGACTACAGCAAAAGTGACTCTGGTCCCATGCCACAGCTCCAAGAAGAGTCCCGTTCTGGAAAATCCAGGGAGGAGACAGCAATACCGAAAAATGCCTGCCGCCATGCATCCTGACGCGGTGCTTGTACGTGGCACCTGGTCGACATCGCTGTAGTGACGGTCGGTAGTGTCTCTGTAGTGCTGTAGTGACGCGTGCCTGGTGCGCACTCTGGGATCGGGACTTCTGTCGCCATCTTGCAGGACGGCATAGGCCTCGCACGCGGGCTGAAACGCGTGCCTGTCACACCATGGCGCTCCGCTTCCCGCAGTTGTCAAGGTTGGCCACTGTGCGTCCCGTCTGGGGAGAGAGCGGCAGTCTGCTTGGACACAGGTCGTGGTGGGGTCTCAATGCACCAGCGCAGCTCAGCCTGGGCAGCGTTCAGCAGGTGGTGCGCGCTACAAAAATCCACGAGGCCTTTCCTGAGCTCGAGTTAATGCGTGCTCATGATCATACAGCAGTATGTCCCTTCGGCTGCTCTCTTTTATACTTGAACCAGGATATCGTTTATGCCGTAAGGTTGAAGGCCTGATCGAAGAAAGCTGAGAGGCCATTCGGTTGGCTGCATGTAAGCCTTGACCGCGGAAATGGCGCACTCGTGCGCGGAAGAAATCCCAGCAAAATTCGAAAATCAGATCAGTCCGCCGAAATGCAAAACATTGGAAATCTAAGGCGTCTGATAAGACCAACCGATCAAGGGACGATCGATTGGTGTGTGAATTATTTTATATCCTGGCTTACTCGGGACTTAAGCATACTCCGTCCTACCGCTCCGTGCTGACCGCTTTCCTGGCCAGATATCGATTGTGCCTCGGGCAGGGGGGCATCACCGTGTGACGGAGAGCACTAGTGTGGTGACGGCCGCAACACCACGACTCGCTGCTCACTGCCAGACGAGACGCTCATTCGAGCATTGTGCTGCCACCTATGGGAGATATACGAATGTATTACTTAAGGAACGGACACTAACCGACGGTGCGTAGTTGCTGCCATATCACGGTAACGTCTACAGACTTTAGTTAGAAGTCTTCAGATCATCAGAGATTTCCGAATGCCCTCTGACTCAAGATATAAACAGAGCGTTTTCGGGCGTGGACGAGTTATATTGCGTGCAAGAACCGAGAGCGAAACAAGAACAACAACAAAAAACAAACAAAAAACAATTTCACAGGTTTTTAATTCTTGGACAGTGGATCCCTAAGTGTACGATAAGCAGGGAGGAGGAACTTTTGAATCAGCAAAGCAGACAAAGCTCATTTATGACAAGCGCTTGCAAAATCGAACATTTCCGGAGTGCAGCATAAACGTACCCTCATAGAACAGAAGCACTTGCATCAAGGGCGTCATTCTGCATACTCTCAGGGGGGGGGGGTACTGAGCCCAATGCTTACTTGACCCCCTCCCCCTAATGCTCCTCTGAGCCTTCTCAGTGCATATGAACAAAAAAGGAATACCTGGGCCACACAAATGCGGAACAGTTGTGCTAAATATTCGTATGCTAGGTAGTATATGCATAGGACATAGTACTCTTGGTTTCATGCATCATGTATCTCACGGAAGTTGTTAGGTACATATGTGAGGAACACTATACATATAATTAAGGCAGTGCTAATAGCCCTATTCGTCCCAGAATGATCAGGGGAGTGAACAAATAGATTCGTTGATATTTTGGCTACATGCCATTATCAAAGCGAATATAATCAGAGGAGGAGTAGCAATGTTTGATATTCGTTTCGATGAAGGCATGAAGCCTGAAACATCAATGCATGTATCTGTTTATTCTCCTGGTTATTCTACGATCAATAAGGCTATAATACTGTCTTAATTCTGTGTATATTTTGTACCAAATACCAGCCTGCAGGTGACTCATGTTTTTGTGATGCTAACTCATATGTTAAACGGTCCGCAATTGTATGACAAGATTTTATTCGAATGACAGTGTCCTAGATGGGGGATAAAGAACAATTAAACTTGCAAGATGTGGGACGGCTTTTAAAAAGGGTACAGGGTAAAACTGATAAAGAGCTTAACAACGTGTTTTCACCACCACCAAAAACCAATGTGCAAGTGTATCTGTCGCATAGCCGTGGCTGTGATGGTTATGCCACACGATCAGCAACAGCAGTGGTCATCAGTGATCCCCAATAAAAGCCTACAAAGATATTTTCGGCGAATTAAATCCCATTCCAAGCTTTCCACTAAATCAACTTTGAATAATTAGCAGTGGGAAGCAATCCCTCCGCAGGAAAACAATTTTGAATCTACGAAATATCAAAAGGGACTTAATGGCTAGATTTACATCGAGGAAGCAATTCAAGTGGCCGATACTCATGGATTATTCGAGGTTTTTGGACGCGTGTGAGGTCAGCCTTTCGGCTGAAGCCCCCCCCCCACCCACGAATTTTTAAGAAAGTGAACACCCTGACTGGCATCAACGACACATGTGGGCGCGTGTTTAGCGGGTTAGAACCTGATAGTACCATGAACATTTACTTCGTATTTCATGGGTGTGAAGCCATGCATTAAGTACGTTACGCCTTTTGCCTATTTTCAATCCCTTTTCTCCCTTGCTACGAGTTGGTTACGTTGGGCGGAAGTCCCCCTCCCCCTGCTATATTGTGTTGGGCGTCATGCCACCTAAAGGTATGGTCTGTTTGACTCCCAATTAAGCGAAACCTGCGCAACAAAGACGGGTGCATGGCTTGCCATGAGTGGAAGCTTACAGTATCCGCCTTTAAGAGAATAAATAATTGGGAATGGTGTGGTCATGGTGTGCATGATAATTGAAAATGTACCGTCTTATGCGTAATGCTTGCGATGTGTTGGAAGATTGATGGTAAATTTGGCGATGGTGTTCTAGATATGTTGGCCAGTAAGCCAATGCTCTGTGTTGTGAGGTTAGGAAGAGATCAATGGTATTAGGCTTTGTGTGGTCTTTTTACTTTGATTACGGGAGGACGATGCAAATATTGGACATGCGGGCAGTGCTTGATTTTTAATTTCTCCTGTGATGGCCAAGGCGTACTTTTTGTGTGCTACTGCAAGCCAATGAAGGCCGGCAGCCGAACACATGTGGTATGTTTTCCTTCACCTCGTGTTGACCATGAGCACAATTTCACTTTTTGCTAGATTTAATACTTATTGCAAAACTGCGGTAACAAGTTAAAAAGAAAAGAGTGGCAACTGTAGGACAATCGCAATTTCGAAGTTGCAATTTTTGCCGCCTTTCTCAGCATATCTGAAATATATGCTGAGAAAGATCATGATATATGAAAATAACGTACAAATATTATCTACGCATACTTGTGCTATATCCCAAATGCGGCGTAGTGATGCACCGGAGATTCAAGAGAGAGAAAAAAGTAAGGCATGCTATGGATGGTGGGTGCAATTTCGCATTCAGTTGAAATGAAAAGGAGAGTGGAGAAAAAAATAGCTGTCTAAGAAAAAAGTATGCTAGATTCGGAATGTGCCATTTGTTGGCGACTTTGGTGTAGATGCAACTATTGTGTCCTCACTCAGCAGCCAACTTGTTCTGCGGAACTGCACCCCTTACTGGTGGTAACGCTTGCTCGAAGAAATCGTAACATACCATGGCTTCATAAAATATCTGTCCCCATTCCATGGTTCAAGAGAACAGCGTTAACTCGAGCCTCCAGACCTAGACATTAGCTCGGTCAGTTATCTATATGTAAAGTTCTAATCCCGAAAACGGCCACCAGTCGTTTCTGCCGGCCCCATCACAGTGCGGAAAGTCCCTGATTATGAAACCCCGATGGTCTGGTATATCCTGGCAGATGATCGTGCTCAGTCACATCATGCTCTGGCCAGTCACGAAATCCTACACGGCGATGCAAATTTCTTCATGGAATATGTTTGGCAGTTTCGGGCGGCTTCAAAAGCGATGACATCGCGAGGTGGTAAGACGTGCATTGCCATATCGTGCTTTGCTTCGTTGTTGAGGAAAATTTCCGCAAAGGTATGGCTGCTTGCACGATAACCTTACGGACTCATTCTGCCTAAAGGCAAAAACATGGCGGAATTGAGGTTTGATCTTTACGAAAAATGAGCAAAATCATGCTGACGGCGATGCCATTTCTTGAACTGAAGTTTTAAGTTTTGACACGCCTTGACTTGGATGCAAATACAGGTCTGAGCCAGGTTGTCTTTCTTTGATATGCTCTCTTTGTATCACATTTTGGAATGTGAAAAAGTGGCAAGGAGATAAAAAACAGTTTTTGCTCAGAAAAGTCCGGAATCATTTCGTATTATTTTGCGGCATGGCTCACACATTGTGCTCCCAAATCAACTCCCCCAGCTCAAATCTCACATCCGTGCAACGCGCCTTACTACATACCTCACGCCCACGCTGTACTTCCAAACGCCTTTCAACCCTCATAAGCTCTGCAATCCCCCAAAGCATTTTGCGCCACAGGCACAGGAAGCCCAATGTTAAACGCAGGAATGTAGTTTTCTATTCAGTTGGGAAGGGAGGCTTCAGTCTCCCAACTTTGGCTGCAGACCCCCCCCCCCCCTCTCCCTAACTTTGTTGAGAAAGTGGGCCAAATCTGGGGAAAACATGTCTATTGGCATATTTTGGGGTTGAACGTAGATCGGGTAATTTTCCACTGCTCCAGACTCCCCCCAGCTCATTTGTGAAACTGCGCCCCTGGACGAGCGCCAAACACCAACGTCTTCCGCACATGCGTCAACTACGTCGAGTGATAGATTGTCTCCAGACGACCACATCACGCTGTGGTAAACACCACCCGCCACATCGCAATGTGGATTGTTCGGTGGAGGACCACACTCGAATAATACATGCACGTCGTCTGCCTCCTAGCATTTTTGCAATGTCTGGGATCACGATGAGACGCTATTCCAAAACGACCATAAGCCGTAATAGTGGCGTCACATCGGGGTTTGCAAGTCCATGAGATTGGTCAGATCGCAATGCAACCGTCTTAAAAAGCAGGCTCCCTTTTCGGGATTGGAACATATATATACTAACAGTTTACAGTATATATATATATATATATATATATATATATATATATATATATATATATATATAACATGCGTATGTATATACATACATACACATGTGGTGTGTGTGTGTGTGTGTGTGTGTGTGTGGTGTGTGTGCGCGTGTGTGTGTGCATGTATGTGTGCTGCGTGCGTACTTGCCATCAATGTTGACCTCTAGGTCACGCATAGGCATGCCGGATGAAGCGATCCCGGGTCACCTTATGCAGTGGCCCTCGGTTGCAGACTACTGCAGATCCCGTGCTTGTTGCTAAAGAAGATGGAAGTGTTGAAAATGTGGGTATGTGAATCAACCAAGTGTTTAGTGGCTGGTCCACAGAAGACCCCGGTAGCACCAAAGTCTATTGGGCGCACAAGTCCAAATTTAACGTCATTTTCACACTTGGCACCGTGGTAACAAACTAGTCCCTCCACTGGCCTTGAAAGGTGCCTGCACCTTTTCGCTCAACGCTCCCTTATACCTTGTGTCACCTATCTGTTCAGGATAAGGCCCGAAGACGATGCAAAACAAAAGTCTTTAAAAAATGCACTAGTATTTCGAGGATATGGTAGCAATCTGACGACTTCTCCCCGACCTGTTACTGATTTACGGCAACGGCATTATTTCGAGCCGTGAATTTGGTGTTTCGAGGCGATCGCGGTGCGTTTGTGACTGGGTGTGTTGTGCATGATTCGTGTGCACGGGTTTTATGTGAAGATAGCGTCCACCGCGGTGCTGTCCTGTTCTAGCCGTGTGCTCAGCGACAGGACTGATTTTATCGCTGCGTGGCAAGATCAAGTTGGGATAGCGTGTCACGCACCAGTTCGAGAAGTGCATTGCTGACGTGCCTGCGTTTCAGTTATGGTAAGTACGTGTGGATATCAGTGTTGGGTCAGCTGATATCTCTAAATGTCATGTGAATTCCATCCCTGCATAGTTCTAAAAAGGCTAGCCATTTCAGTTGGTATTGGCAAACAGGCAACTTTTGGACCAACCGTTCTTGAGGTCAATCCTTGGCCTTGCACCACCACAGGGTTGGTATCTATTCACAGAAATATGTGGTACGCAGAAATTTCATGTTCTTGACAACATGTGTGTCATCATGATTACTTGACCCTGCCAGCAAAAAGGCAGATTTTGTGCATTTGTACATTGCAGGGAAATGTGTTGGTGCTTTTTGAAAACCAGCTGCAAGTTTGATTATTTTGTAGCAAGTTATCCATTTGAGTGATTGTGATATAAAGTTAGTATCAAAGTTTTTGCTCCACTATATGGAATGTTTTTAGCATCTTCATAGAAGTTGGTTACTGTGTGCATGCATCTTAATGTGTGGTGCATGTCATGCATTAAAAATATTGGTAAACTATGTTTTGCCCAAAAAGTCTAGCTGGATAATGCACACTTTCTTATTATCAAACAAGCAAAGTGTTGGCTGCATCCTTACACCATAGTAGTTTACTTGTAAGCAATGTGTTTTGTAGCCAGTTGGAGATGGTCATCAGGGGCAGTGTAATAAATACGAAAGAATGAACTCACTGGTTGTTCTTGAGATCAGTGTTATCTTTGTAAAAGTCATGAATTAAGACTGATAGTGTGTGAAATAGAATGTGGTGGGATTATTTTTATTTAGAATGAGCCACAGATGTAACAATAATGCTATAGTAGGGTTTTACCCATAAAGTGAGTTAATTACAGGGGTGTGTTTTGTTGGTACATGTTTCATTGGCACTGCAGTGCTCTTCCAATATCATGTGTCTTTTCAGGGCTCACTCATCAGAGTCAAGGGGGGTAGGACCAGGGTAACCCTGTAGTGATGCATGCAAAGAATCAACTCCAAAAGTGTATCGGCTTCCCTTCTTTCTGAGACACTCTTTCACATATGGTCAGCGCCTGTTTTCGGTTCATCTACCAATGGCAGGTGTGCAGGTTCAAGTTGATTTAGTGTTTGCTTTTCTGGCCCTGACCAGACCTGTAACCAGTCAGGATGGCCTGCAGCCTGTGGTGATGGTCACACCAAAGGTCAAGTTAGTCACTGCCATTGGGTAGAATAGAGATCAGTAGATTTGGCATACTAAGCTTTTGCTACAGCATACTATTGTTTGTCTGGAATTGGAATTTAAGTTCACAATTGGATGGGGCAGGATTTATGCAACATATACTGCCTGTTGTGGTTACTGATCCTAGAAATGCATCCAATGAACAAATTATGTGGTCTCAGACTGAATAACAAAACATGCAGTTGGGTGATCAAGTGTTGAGTCCTTGCTGCCAGTGTATGATGATGTGTTTGTAAATGTGGGGACAGTTAGATGTGTCTTCTGTTGATGTGCCAAATATTCTTTTTCTCACTAATCGCTAGTCCAAGATCAAAAATGCATATCTTGGGCATTAATCATCATGCAAGTTTTTGCTCTGAAGGAATACCAATGGTTATACAAGTATGGTAATTGAGTTGTCTGTATTGGCAATATAGATTAATGTAGGAAGCATCAGTTTAAAAATGCAATTTTTTGTCCAACTGAAACATGGCCATTCACTTTTACTGGTAGGATTTGCCTTGGTATAGGCAAAGGCATCCCAGTCTGTCATATCCATTGAAGCCCTCTTCACTGTGTGAAGTGGTTATCCCTTTGCCATTCCAGATATACAATGCTTGAATGGTGGGCTATATGGAATGTTTGATGAGCAGACCTGATAAGTCATGGTATATATTTGAAAGCCCTTGGTTTATTTAATAATTATATGATAGGTCATCAACACTAATAGGTCATACATAGATGCTTTTTAAGTGATTAAATCATGATGATCTAACAAGTTAAAGGCAGGTGTTGTAATTTTATTACACTTGAGTTTTGATACATTAGCCAATAAAACTAGCATGTATTCTGATGTAGATGCCATTTATACATATGCTCACTAAATTTGTGTGTGGTTTGATAAAAAAACAAATGCAACCCAAGTTTTCAAGGTTTTGTAGTAACATATATGCTTATATGCATTTGTGGCCGCTAATTAATAGCAAGGGATAGAAACATTTTTGTAGTTTGATTATTAAGTGTTTGCTCAGATTAAACTTTTATGAAATGCATGGATGATGCAATAATGCTCCATGATATGACCAGGCAAATGTTGTGTTACAAGTGAATAACATTTATGTAAAAGATGTAGTTATGGTGGTTTTTAAGTACATAACTTGACTCATTTTCATCAGTCACGGCCAAGCTGACCGCAATGTAGGCGTTGATGCTCCAGCAATGTTGCCCATTCCCTTTATTTATGACATTGTGGTCCCAAGATCGAAAAAGTTATATTCCAACCATGGTTAGCATGGCACCGTAAGGCACGAAAGTGGCTCACGTCCATGCAACAAGTGCCGCGTGCGCACTGGGGTCACGGGTGCGTAACAACCTGGCGTTCTTATTGCAGGCCGTAGGCGTGGATTAGGCTGCCAGTGTGGACAACTCTTAGCCAAGCAGAGTGACATCATGAATATCATGGTGAAGAAGAAGAAGTACAAGTTCCAGGTGGATCTGGAACTGGCTGAGCTAACGGCCGTGCCATTTGTGAACGCCGTGCTGTTCTGCAAGGTGCACCTGCTGGACGGTGGCAAGTTCGAGGAGCTGTCTTCCAGGTCGGTCAGTGGGCCCGCTCGGCCCCAGACACGTCTCGGTCGCGCTCACCGTGCCGTCACAGCTGTCTGTGGGTGACCTAGTGTCCGGTGGCAGGTGGGCGGCTAGGCGGATGAACTCTACTCCCTTCTACAGGTCCGCTCGGGCCGCGCTTACTTCCGTTGCTGTTACGTGCTGTCCGCTCGTAGAGGGTCGAAAGCGCTGGCATATGCCATGTTTGTCCCCGCGCAGCGTTTTCCTGCACTTTCGCTGTTTCTCCGACGACCGCGGAGCTGTTTCCGATCGCTCTTCTCCATTAATAACGGGATTCATTAAGCACAGATCATCCTCGGTGTGCTGTGTAGAAAACCGAGAGTTGTGTTTCGGTGACACCGCTTTCTTCTGTCAAGTAACATCTGTCTGTTATGAATGCTGCAGCTAGATTGGACCACTGATTTGATCAGATTAGATTGGATCACCATCTTGGCCACTGATTTGAAGGACTGTTTGCACCGCCAGCGGTAGACGAGCCCACCAATTGAATGTTATGTAGAATAACAACTCCTGTCAGTAACAGTGACCGCTGCAGAGTGAACGGCTGCCAGCTGTAATGCCATTGTTCTCGCAGGCCTCGATGCTTCCGGTCAAAACCTCATGATAACATCGAAATCTCGGGCTGTGCTCTGTGTTGCACAACATTTTCTAACAACTGCAAACAACTGCTTGTCAAAACTGTCATTATCAACAACTGCTGTCAATGGGCTGGAGCGGCATTGGCTGCTCAGGGGACATATTCATCTGCTCCGCCCAGTGAGGCAGTATGTCGTCTGAGAGGCTGGTGTCCAGGGTGGGGGCGGCATTGGCTCCCAGCGGACATATTCATCTGCTCCGCCCAGTGAGGCAGTATGTCGTCTGAGAGGCTGGTGTCCAGGGTGGGGGCGGCATTGGCTCCCCAGCGGACCTATTCATCTGCTCCGCCCAGTGAGGCAGTATGTCGTCTGAGAGGCTGGTGCCCAGGGTGGGGCGGCATTGGCTCCCCAGCGGACATATGTGCGCCGCATTATGCGGCAGTATGTCTTCTGAGAGGCCGTGTTCAGGGGTGGGGCGGCATTGGCTGCCCAGTGGACCATACTCATTTGGGGCCGCCTTATGCGACAGTATGGGTTCGTCTGGGAGGCTGGTGTCCAGGGTGGGCGGCATTGGCTACCCAGCGGACATATTTTATCTGCCTCGCCCCGTGAGGCAGTATGTCCGTCGGAGAGACTGTGTTCACGGTGGGGCGGCATTGGCTGCCCAGCGGACATGTTCATCTGCGCCGCCCAGTGAGGCGGTATGTCATCCGAGAGGCTGGTGTCCAGGCTGGGGCGTGCGAACGCTTCTCTGTATGGTGCACCAGCCCTGCGCTGAGCTGCCGCCGTCAGCCGCGTGGCGTGAGGCAGGCAGTGGCGGGGTAGGGCTCGGGGTCCGCTCGGCCTGCATCTGTCAGCGCCCACAGCGCTGAACGTGTTGATGTAGGTGGCCGGGAGTGGTCTGGGACGGTGCTGCAAGCCAGAGCCTGTGCGGTGAATCATGAACGCTGCAGCGGAGTGCCGCGGCTGGATTTCATAACGTGGATTTTTCGCGTGTGGGAAAAGCTGCCGCTCGTTGAAGACTCATTTCCCCAGGCTCTTCACGCAGTTCAAAGTGATTGCCGTTGCAAACGCCTCAGTGGCTGACACGCACGTGCGAAGTGCGCGCTCCTGTGCCGCCCGTCGAGTTGGCCCAGCCTGTCCACGTCATCCGGCGTGATCTGTTGGGACGGATCGCCCGCGTGCTTGACACAGCGGCATGTGAGCGAGCAGCCTGTGCGGCGGGCGAGGCTTGCACTTGCACACCCCCCGTCGGCTGTGGGCGCAAGCCGGCATGATGTGACCTATATTCTCGCCTGCTGCGCCCTCCCCCGCCCCGCCCCACTGGCAAACCGCCCGTGAGCCCCGCCCCTCCCCCGCCCCGCCCCGCCCCGCCCCGCCCGCTCATGCGTACACGTCATGATTTGGTCGGGCCGGCTGAGCTGAATACTGCGGGCGAGCCGCCGTGAACGCGGCACTCGCATACATCGGCGCTGGTGTGCCGTAAGGGCGTCCGGCCCGGCCGGCACCCTCCGGGACCGGCCGCCGGGTCACAGTGGTCTGGTCGGGGCTCCGCTGCATACTGTGCGGTGCTCGGCCGGCCCGGACTGGCTAAACCGGCGCCGACGGCGGGGCCGGCGCCTGAGGCGGGCCGCGCCTGGGGCCCCGGCCGCCGCGCCGGCCTCCGCAGCCGTGGGCGGGCCGGACAGTGGCGGTCAGGCGGGGCGGCGTCACACTACCACCCACCGGCGCCGGCAGTTGGCTCGCCGCCCCCAGCAAGGCTCCGGGCCGGCCCAGCCCGGCACCGCCGGGGACGGAGGCCCGCTGGTGGGGCCCGCGCACCGCCGTCGCGCTCGGCTGCGGCGCAGACAGGACGGGGGTAGCCACCGGTTTTGAGCTGTGGTGGCCGTATTTTTGGGTTGCGGTGGCAGCGTTTGTGGCGACAGACAGGGGAAAAGCTACAACTATCCACGTAACTACGGAACGAAGCGTTTGCGTTTACAGTTATGTGTACGCCACGGAATGGCTTGGCTTCTCTCCTATTTCTGGGAATTTCAACGGGTTGTATGAAGCCTGGGAGAATGGGATGAACCTTGGCTGTGATTCAGTACACCACTGCTCAGCTCTGTCAGCTTTGCAGGCCGTGGTGATAGTCGAGCCCAGCTCGAATTAATCCTACGGTGCGTGCACTACTGATAGGATTGTCAGGCATCGAAGGATCGACTGCGAGGTTCCATTTGCCATGTGGCTTTTGTAACGATTCGGATGGCGTCTATTCTGGGTGTCCCTTTGAACTTAATGCCAGTGATGGTGCCAGGGTCTAAATTGCCCATTCTGCACAGGCTTAAGAAGACTTACGCGAAATCGTTCGTAACCATTGCGAGGACGCGCGGTTTATTTTGTTGAGGGGTGAGCGGGTGCTGTCATTCTGTTTGCTGGAAGTGTTACCTCATCTCGCAGTGGACTGCCGCGCACCAGGTGGCCAAAATTGTCGCCATCTGCTGCGGATGAACACTTTCGCCCTCGTCTCCGCCGGTGTCGGCAGCTGGCCCGTTTCCTTCGCTTTCAGAGACGCTGACGATCGCTGCGCCTGGCTTGTCGTGGATGGCTTGTTTGTCGAGTCTAGCGCGGTGCAAGTTGCTACAGCCACCAAGGGCGCGCGCTGGGCGGCTTATACATTGATCTGACGGCGTTACCAAAGCTGCCGCCTTAATACACTGACGCCCACTCCCCTCCCCGCCCCCGCCCCCTCCGCGGGTGAAAGGCCCGTGTCGCGGCGCCCTGCGACGGTCGAAAGGTCAGGCGGGCCACCCGGGGCGCCGACCGTGCCATTAGCCCGAGGCCGAGTTGTGCATGGTGACTGTATGGGCCAACAACACGTTGTTTATGCTTGGACCGCCGAGTTGAGTTAAGTATGATATAATCGCTCCACGTCGTTATTTTACTGCCAGGGATCGCAGCGGTTGGCTACCTTTGTTCCCACAAACCAGTTGCGCTCACCTGGCTGACCGTTACAACGCGGGGGAAAATAACCAAACCGCGACAAACCTTTGCTTGTTCCGTCAAATGGGGTCGCTCCGCACGGTGCAAAACTGCGGCCGGTCCAACTGAGGCCACGTGGAGGTATCGATCACACATGGCTATGCATAATATGCCGGGGAGGCGTCTTGCATGCACTAGGGGCGCGTGTTTTTTCTTGAGGCCCTGCCAAGCCACAGTCTGCTTTACGGACATGCCGCACTTGTGTTCACCGGCGAAGCAGACAGCTGCGGGGCCAGGATGTGACCCACGACATTTGCCACATCAACGGCGAACAGGCGGTCTGTTTTCGTTCGCGACCGAAACCGCCCGCCTCCCTCCCTCGGCGTTGCAAAATAGCCTTACAAACGCGTGTTTGTCCCTCTAGCGTGTGACAACGGCGTGCGTTGTCCTGTCTGCAAGTTGCGCCGCTCTTGCATGATGTTTGCGGCCGGCAGACGGTACGGGGTTCGCTGCCGCCGGGAGGGGCCGAAGAGCCGAGACCCAGCGCTGGGGTCAGGGTCAGGGATGGAGCTCGCTTGGAGCCATGTCAGGGGTGGCTCTCCTCCGGCGATTGTATGTTCCATTGCGAGCGCTTAAACACGGGTGCCACCAAAATGATGAGAGCAATTTTGGGTTGCCGTAGCCTCGCGCCGGTCTGCCTGACGCCTCAGTTCCCCTGTTTGAGCGGAACCGTTTCACAGCGGGCAACCGTCGCTGACGCCGGCCGCGCCCCGCTGAGAGCACTCTCGCGTCGTCCGCTGTGAGCGATCGCGACAGTGACGAGCCGGGTGTCACGTCCGCCCACAGCGACTGCACGGCTGGACGTGTCCGTTGAGGCGTGGAGGCCGCCGCCGGCCGTGTGAACGGTGCGGCGCCTCGTCCGCGGCCCGAATGCCGACGCGGTGCTGGATGGCGGCCGGGCCTGGCCTGACCGGCATCGGCACCTCGCAGCCGGGCGCGTGGCGGGCGGCGCCGCTGTTTCCGCGGCGCGGCGGCGCGGCCGGTCGCATCCGTTCAGCTGCGGCCGCCGGCGGCGCCGCCAGACGCCCGGCCGGCGCTGGTCTGATGGTCGGCCGGCGGCACCTAACGGCCCCGGCTGTTCCGCCCCGGCTCCTCAATACCCCCAGCTGTTGGCGGCAGCAGCCGGTGGCGCGGTCGGCAGCTCCCGGCCCCTCCCCCGCCCTCGTCCGGTCAGAAACGGCTGACGCCGACGGGCGCGCGAGCACGTCCCGCCGCCGCTGCCGCCGCCGCCGTCGCCGCTGCTGCTGATGTTTACAGGGGCGTGCGCCGAGCGCGGCGGTGGGACCGGCCGCGTCCCGGCAGCCGGTGACGGCCGCAGTGCCCGGGGGCGTGGCGCCAGCGCTCTTCCCACGGACCGGGCTCGGGAAGGAGCCGCAGCCGGCGGAGCGCGGGTCAAGGTCGTCACCCCGGGCCGTCCCGGGCGCCTCGCTCTCGTTCCGTGAGCGGGGGGGGGGGGGGGCACGACGGCCGGGACCAGGCGCTGTCCCTCCGCGTCAGGTGACGAAAACGACTTGACAGGGCAGTGCCCGTGCCGTGAAAGGATACTGTGTGGAGCTTACGGCCGTTTTGCCCTGCACTGGTCACAGCGTTTTCGTGTTTTGTCCATGCTCAGCGCTGTTCGTTCTCGCGCCTGTGGGGTGAGATCTGAGCGATTCAGTCTTGGGGAGTGTGGGCTCGTCAGGCGGAAGTGATCAGCTGAGCAACCCCGGACAGGTTGATTATTATGGACGACGGGCTGATTATGATCACCATCTCTTCTTCGCGCTGGTCTCATGCTAATGGTATTGCCCGCTGCTATCGCAACGCCGCGCCTTTCCCGAGCGACGTTTAACGTCGTGGGTGTTGTCGCCATCTGAGGCCAGTGGTGCGGCTTCTGTCGGTGGGCGTGCGGCTGCCGCTTCCTGGTCTGACCGGGCCGAACGAACATTCTCGCTCCGGGAACGAGGATGGACGAACGTTGGCTCATCCCATTGTGTGCGGCGTCTGCAGTCGGTAGGGCAGCAGCCGAGTCCCATTGTCCGCGGCCTTGTGTGGCCTGTTGTCATCCATCCCGTGGCGGCTCCCGCGGATGGAGCGGACACGCTGACCCTGACCCCGGCCGAGTGCGAGCGCTGCGCCCCGCCCCGCCCCGCCCCGCCCGGCGCGATCCTGGCCGGTCGGTACGACCCCGGATCCGCACCGGTCGGTGTCGGGATCAGTGAGACGACCCACGCCGCCGTGAGCCAGCTAGAATTCTCCGAAGCGCGGCGCCGCGAGCTCAGGCGGCCGTCTCCCGGAACGCACGAGCTTCGACGATTACCTACCCACGCAGAGCGGCCTCTGTCGGCCGGCCGCGACCTTGGCGGCGGTGCAAGGTCAGCCGGCCGTCGGAGACAACCGGTCCGGTCCGGCGGAGGCGGCCGCCGTCGCCGGCAGACAGACAGACAGACAGACAGACAGGTCAGACAGGACAGACAGTGTCATAGCGTCTCAGAGCAGAGTATCTCCCGGTGATCAGATGCGGTGCAGCCTCTCACGAGTGCCGCGCACGCTGCGTGCAGCCACTGCAGCGCCGGTGCGACGGGCGCGGGCGTGGCGCTCCCCGCACGGGGGTGTGCCTATCTGCTGGCACCACTCAGCCGCTGAATACACGGCATTATTGAACGCCTGATACTGCTGGTGCAGCGTGACAGATAGCGCGGGCGATGGGCTCGAGGTGTGCGAGCAAGGGCACGCCGCCAGCGCGCCCCGTGAACTGGCCGCCACAGGGGCCGCCGTGGTCGGCGTCTGTGGGCGGTGTTCGCAGACGCACGGAGGAGTGGAGCGAGACGAGAGGGAGGACAGAAAGGGCGTAGCAGGGCAGGCTACGTCGCAGAACGGAACCATATGCATGGCGTGGACTGGAGAGATGCCATTACGCGGGTGGGGGGAGGAGGCGGAAGTCTGCACGTGTATGGAAGGATGTGACAGGCGCGCTCCCCTCACCTTCTGGGAGCCTCAGCGTTTGGGCTGGCTGCGGAGTTTTCTCGCGGTGAACTCGGTGCCGACTTTGGCCGAGCGATAGCTGTCGGTAACATTGGGGCTGTTATTGTCACAGCGGCCTTTGTAGCCGACAGCCGCAATCTAAACTGGCCTTCGAACATCGACCAATGAAAGAACATCGATGCGTGCAGGAAAGCGGGCGACCTCTGACGAAACGCTCGTTTATCCGGTGCCCTGTCCCCGCGACCTCTGAGGGTTTTAGCCCCTGTCCCTTCCCCAGGCCCCTGTCGCCCCCGCCGATGACGTGTCGACCAGCGTCAGGCCTGTCCAGCTCGGTGGATTGACGCACGTGGTGTGCAAACCTCCCCAGCCCCGATGGTGTGCGTTGGCGTGTTTGTGTCGGGTTTGTGACCATCGACGTGAGAGAGCTGACCCAGCGGTGGCGCCTGGCCGCCACCGCCACCGCTCGCCCCGGCCCTGAAGCCGCTGACGCCGGCGCCATGTCCCCAGGGAGGAGGTGCGGGACCACACGGTCAAGTGGAACGCGCGCATGTCGTTCAGCGCCAAGCTGTCGGCGCCGAGCACCACCGGCGTGCTGGACCCGTGCCTGCTGCGCATCTCGGTCAGGAAGGTGAGTCGGCCGCCGCGCCACCCGGCCGGCGACGCCGTGGCGGCGGGCGGCCACCGGACGGCGAGGCCGGCACCCCGCTGGCTGGTGGATCGGCGACGCCGGGCGCACCACGCTGCCGCCCCCACGTGCCGGCCGGACCCGGTGGGCGCCTCCCGAGCAAGGTGACGGGGAGGGCCGTTGGCATGGTCGGCGGTCGGTGCGACATCGGTGTGGTTTGGGGCCGGGTCTGGACACCCGCGCCGGCCGGCCCCGTGGTGTATCGCGTCACGCCAGCGTCACACGTGACCTGCCGCCGTGCTCGGAGGCCGCCGGCAAGTGTGGCAACCGGCGCGTCCCGGGCGTGCGACGGGTTTCGCTTGCGTGACGGGCGGCCCAGGCGGGCCGTCGGGACGGGCGCAGTGTCCCGTGGCCAGTCTGGGCTGGAGGCGCGGGTGTTCCGCGTAAATTCGCAGTGCAGCTCTCAGTATCTTAGAGGTGCCTGCCTCTCACAGACGGGGTGGTCCGCGCGCCACCCCTCGTCATGATGTGCTGTCATCGACCGTGGCGTCTGCGTCCTCTAAATCGTTATTTCCGTCACCGTCGGAGGCACGGCAAATATGTTTTCCCTGAAATCAAGCCGGGGTCGTCGGTGGGCGCCATGCTGACCGCGGGGCGGGCGCCAGCGGCGATATTGGGCTATCACGCGGCGATTGGGCTGCACACCAGCGCCCTGTTGCGACCGCGCCATTGGCCCGCGAGGAGGGAACAGGACGGGACACGGCGTCCCTACAGAGGGAACGACCAGACGACAGTGTCCCTGAGGAGCGAACAGGACGGACGACGGTGTCCCTGACAGGACACAGACCGACGACGATGTCCCTGACGAGGGCACAGGATGGATACTGGTCCCTGGCGCGGACGTAGGTGGGACCGGGCGTCCCTGAGGTGGGTGGCGTGATAGGCGTTGGGAGGAAGGGGGGGGGGGGGCAAACGTCACCGCGTCACCATCGTTGTCTCGGTGCGCCGGTCGGCCGTCCGTCCATGGGCGACGCGGACGCCTCAAATGGTGGCTAGGACTCGGGCCGAGCCGCCTGGCACGGCCATATAGCGCCGTCTGTGTTACACCCGCCGGCCGAGCCGGCACGCCGGCTGCCTGTGGCCATGCGCTGACGGCCTTGGCGGCATTGGGAGCATGGCTGATGGCTGCCTGCCATGCGAGCAGTCGGTCAGTGCCTGCGGTCTCGGCGCTCGCCAGTAAACTGGCGATGTGACGGGAAGGAATGATACCAGACGACACACACTCCGGCCTATTGATCTACGAAAATGTCGGTGGGCTGCGGTATTGGATGATCAGTAGCCGTGTTTGGCTTTTGGATCCGTTTTAAGCAGGAGTCCTGCATTCGGTGCGAACATGAAAGTGCTGCTAACACGAAGCGTAGTCGGCTGGTAGCGGGTTAGGCGCTTTGTTTTCGTGCATAGGTATTTATTCCTTTGACCTACCCATGCTATCGAAGTCATAACACTTTTAGACGGGAAAGCATGTCGAAGGAAGAAAACGCGTCGCTGACAACTAAAACCAGCCGTTTAACTTATGTGAGTGTTCTTAATGTACGGTACGCGAATGTTCTCACGAAAGCCATGCCGGACCGACACCCGAACCGGGGTGCACCGCTGCTAGCGCAGGGGGTAGGACTCAGGCGCTTTCACTGTATGACGTGTGCGAAAGCGCCGGCATGAAAGGCCGCGCTCCGTGCATTAGTCAGGCGCCATCGCGACATGCACTGGCGTGGGTGGGGGTGGGGGGGGGGGGGGGGAGGGGGCGGGGGTGAGCGGCACTTGCCCGCCGCTGACGGCCAGAGCGTTATTTGTCAGGCCCGACGGGCCTCTGCGGACTAGCGTCGCGTCACGTGCTGGCCGCCGCCGGTCGACTGAGGCCGCGTCACTTGTCACGCCGCGGGAGTGCCGCTGCGCGCCGCCGGCTCTCGCCACGGCCGCCGGACAGGTGCCGCGTCCTGCCGCCACCTCCCCGCACGCGGCGTTCGCAGCTGCGCGTCGCCGCTCCAGCCGCCGCCGGTCTGCTGCGGACCGGTGGGGGACGCCCTGTGCCGCCGGCTGGCCGGTGCCCTGTGACCTCGCCGGGCCGTCGGACGCGCCGCGGTGACGGGCGGCCGCCGCAGCCAGCCGGCCGACCATGTGACGCCGCCCGGCGCACGTGGCGCCGAAAGCGAAACCGCTCGCCGACGCATACGCCGCCGCCGAGAGAGAAACCCGTGCGCGAGCGGCGCCGGCCCGGACGAAATCCCGGCGCGCCCGGACCGGCTGGACTGGACCTCGCCAGTTTCACATGCATATGTGGCTGTTTTGAAATAGTCCGAGGGTGCGTGTGCTGTCACCCGCATGACGTACGGCAGGGCCGGGGAAACTCGGGATCTGATACGGATGGCATGCCGTCTGCGCTCGACTCGCATCGGTCCGGTGTGAAGGCTGGCTGGGACCGGCGGCCCGCTGCCACACGCTGTCAATCTGCACCCGGTGCTGTCAGCCTCGTGCCCGTTTCCCGCCGTCCCCGCCGGCCCGAATCGTCCATCACGTTGTCATGCTGATGGGGCCGAACATTACGTGACTGCCGTTCGTTTGATTGGCGGCGGTTTGTGCCGGGCGTCACGTCCCGGGCGATCCTTGTCTGGAAACGGAGGCCGTCTGCGGCGGGGCCGCGAGGCTGCGGAGGCCGTCTCGCCGGCCGCCGCTCTGGGTCGTCCGGCCCCGTCCGGGGCCAGCCACGCTCTGGGCCGTCCGGGGTCAGCCACGCGCCGGGCCGTCTGACCCCGTTCAGGGCCGGCCACGGTCCGGGCCGTCCGGGGCCAGCCACGCTCCGGGCCGTCCGGGGCCAGCCACGCTCTTGGTTGGACGTGTCAACAGGCTGTCGGTCTTCTCACGAGTTGGCCGTGGTGTCCGATGTCAGGTCATCGAACGGCACGAACAGGACGCTCCCGCCTGGTGCCGGCTGTCCGGCTCCAGCCACAGCCCTTCGCCGTTGTCATGCGGCATCCTGTGTTCATGCTTTATTGAAATGGACGATTTCGGGCTTTACGAATTTATATGATTAGAGTGAGCATGTGCGGGGCATTCAGAATCCACATTTAGACAGCATGAAACACGGCAATCTCGGTGTTCTCACTGCGATGTAATCCTTTTGTACACTGCGCCATGTGTGAATCTCGCTTCTATGGGGCTCCGGTAACAAAGAACGCTGGCGGTCCTTGTCCTGGTTTCCCCACGTGGGGCAGGTGACCTTGCCTGCTACCTGCAGCACGACTCCCTGGGGACCTCATTACCGAGACCCCACCGGAAGCGATCGGCAGCGTGACTCCGTGCCCGCGTGGGGAGGCGTCCTCATGACATGTCACGCCACCCACGCCAGCGTGACCCGGCCGCCGTGTGGGGCGGGCCCGCGCGCCCGAGCAGCGGGCCCGGTCTGCACCAGACTCTGACAATAAGCACGCCTCAGCCGGCGCGTCTGGCTGTAGCCGGGCGGTGGTCGGTCGGCCGGCCCAGTCTGATGGCCCGTTGTGCCGATCTCCGCTGATCGTGGCGGCAATGGCCGGTCAATGGCGTCGCAGTCGAGCCGGGATGCTCACTTGCCCGCCGAGCGATGTCGGCTCGGCGAACGTTGTGGGCGTCCGTGTCCAGGGCCGATGCCCACCGGAGGCTCGGCCGCGCCGCTGCCGCCGGACCGGCCGGTATGCGCGGCCTTGGTTCCGCCAGCCGCGTATTTATGCGCTCTGGTCGGCTGGCCGCCAGCGTGTGAAGCGGCTCCAAGACTCGGACCAGGTGGCGTGCGCGGCTGACAGGAGGCTGGGAGCCTGCCCGCTGCCAGAGGTGCGGTGGCCGGATAATCACGGGACGCACTGCCCGTGGAACACACTTGCCCCTTCCGCCGTGAAGGTGGTGGGTTCTAGGAGGTGTAATATTCCATCGCGCACCCGCCTGTGTTTTGGCTCGCAGGAGGTAAACTAGATGTTGCGGTGGTCATTACGTTTGATTTGCTCAGCTCCCAAGATGTTGTCGATTGGTAAGAGGTGTATGACTTGTATGTCTTAATCACTCCTTCGAAGTAGCAACATTGTATTGAATGGTTTTGGCAATGGCAGCGGTTCTGGTCTTGTTGTCATTGTCGCTTTAAAAGAAATTTGCCTGGTCAAATTAAGACCTTTAACTGTTCACGTCGGGTGGCAGGGAATTGCAAATGAAAATTTCGGTGTCATTTGTTTTTCCCAATTCGCTTTCACTGATTAGATATTGTCACAGACCCCAACTTTTGTTTGGTTCGTATTTAAAAACGAGGTTATGGGGTAGGCCCCGAGCAAAATTCACCACTAAACGCATCGGCATCATTGAGAAGGCATCGTTAGCTCTAGCCAGTGAGTTTTCGAGGATTTCGCTTGGCAGAGCTGGCAGCAGCTTGCGGACGTGGCGATGGCGGCGGCCATGACGTTGATGTTCGGTTACATTCAGTTGAGTACTGCGGGTGTATGGCGTTGCATAATAGTAAGACTGGTCAGCTGGTATGCGCCGCGATTAATTCATGCCGGCCTACATATACTGAGATGAGGAACAATAAATTTGTCGTATTAATCGGCTGCACCAGGCTCTAAGGAAATGTGATTGCTCTACGTTGCTTAGCAACCAAAACAATGGCCATATCCCTAGCGCGCAGTTTCTCGCCACATATAAGCCAGTACGTTCGCGCTCTCCTGCCCGCTGAGTGGTTAATGTCTTATGATTGTATTTGTTCACGCACAGCCATCGATGGGATCGATAAGAATAATTAAACCAAAGCTGTTGCAAGATCCAAATGCAGAAAGCCGAAAACATTAAGCGTGCTCCCTTTAAAGCGTGTTCCAATACTGCACCAGGTGCACCACAACTGAGGAGCAAACTCCAACGCTATCGCGGCACGTTGTGAGAGGCCTTGGCTTGACTCCGCGTATTTCCCCCTGACACTGAAGTATGGGCTACCGCCAGGGAATGTCGTGTTGCAAAACACTGTTTGCAGCGATGCAATCCACTCGGTTGCAGCACTCGGTCGTTATCTGCGTTTCGCGCTTGTTTACGTGCAGTGCGGAATGCATCCCGGTGATTTGCGGCGGCTTCCTCCCGCTGCTTGTCCGGCGTCCCCTTACTCTGTTGTCCGCCCGACGGGCCGCGTCACCTCACCGTCCTGTGGCGCTCTGATACTGGCGCTCGGGCGCTCTGACTCTCCGACGGTCTGACACTCTGGCGCTCTGACGCTCTGACACTCTGGCACTCTGGCGCTCTGACGCACTGGCGCTCTGGCGCTCTGACGCGCCGCTCTGGCGCTCTGGCGCTCCGCTCTGACACTCTGGCGCTCTGTGCTCTGGCGCTCTGACGCTCTGATGCTCTGACGCTCCGGCGCTCTGACGTACCGTTCTGCCCAACCTAGGAGGCGAAGGGCGGCCGCTCCTACCAGAAGCTCGGCTTCGCCACCATCAACCTGGCCGAGTTCGCCGGCGGCGTGGGCCAGTGCCGGCGCTACCTGCTGGAGGAGCACGACCTGCGCCACCGCCAGGACAACTCCATGCTCAAGGTGGTGCTGTCTACGACCCTGCTGAGCGGCGACCCTTGCTTCCGCACGTGAGTACGCCGCCGACCCGGCGCACGCTGATCCGCGCGCGGACAGAGTCGGCGGGACAGCGTGCCGGCGGCCCAGCGCGGCCCGGACGGGGGAACCGAGCGTCGCCCGCACGGCGCGGTTGGCTGGGAAGAAAGGTGCGCCTTGGCGCGTGAGGAAAACGGAACTCGCCATGTGTCAGCACGCATTTGCACGCTTTGCTCGCATAGTTCTGCCCTTCAGTGCGCACGATCGTGCCGCCAGATGTACAATGTGCGGTTGCATTTCTGGCCGTAGATCTGGGTTGTTAGAAAATGTGTATAGTGCGCGCCGCCATTGACTGTGTCATTCATTTGCTCCGTTCTAGTATTTTTCAATTTCGCTAACGCGCCTTCGATCCACACCAGTTTCATTCGCGCGGCTTGAGTGCTGGACGTGCGCGCCGATCCAGCCGCGGCAGCAGCCAGGTGGAGTGTTGGACTTGCGCGCCGATCCAGCCGCGGCAGCAGCCAGGTTGAGTGCTGGACTTGCGCGCCGATCCAGCCGCGGCAGCAGCCGGTTTGAGTGCTGGAGCTGCGCCGTAGAGAACACGGCCACGCCTACGCTGGGCGTGGGTTCGCTTTGGACGGCGAATTGCCCCGGTGCAGATCCTTATCGTTGTCAAACGTGCGTTGCCCGAATGCTCGGTTTCATATTCTTTCTCAGTGGACCGCACTGGGCCACAAATTGTCCTGTTTGATAAAACGTTTCTAGCGAAGTACAGTAGCACACATTGTCCCCGTTCCATGCCACCGATGCTCCCAATGGTTCGCTGGACTGGCGGGATAGCCAACACAATTACAGGCTGATGTGGCAGATGAGGCGCCTCAATGACTCATCCTCTGAGCCGTCATCGGCAGCTGGCGGCCTGCTGTGCCTGACCCGGCCGGCGTCGCGCGAGCCGGAGCTCCTCTCCGCCGCCCTGGCCTCCGCGATCGCCCTGGCCCCGTCCGGGGGTCGGCCCGGGGTGTTGCGTCTCCGCCGGCGGCGATGGTGACTCCACGCGCTGCGGCCGGTCTGCCGCCGGCCGGCCACTGACCTCGGCCGGGCTGAGCGGGTGTGGCCGTGTCCGCAGGCCGAACCCGCGCTCTGCTCACCTGCCGAGCGAGCCGCCCGAGCCCGGCGGACCGGCGGCGGCCGCCGTCGAGACGGTACGCGCCGGCACCGGCGGTCTCCAGCTGAAGGACGTCACCAAGGGCAGAGGTCAGTGCCGCCGGACGGGGCTTCAGGTGGGCGAATCTCACCTCACCCGGGGCAGAGGTCAGTGCTGCCAGATGGGGCTTCAGGCGGCGAACCTCACCTCATCAAGGGCAGAGGTCGGTGCCGCCAGATGAGGGTTTCAGGGGGGGGGGGGGGGGGGAATCTCCCGTCACCAAGGGCAGAGGTCGGCGCCGCCAGATGGGGCTTCAGGGGGCGAGACGCAGAGGCTGGCGCGTTTCGTTGGATTGGTGGTGCTCTTGAACTTAATGTGTTATTATGTGTTGATGCGGTGACATATTACATTTTGAGAGGAATGCCTGACAACGGGCCTTGCTGAGCTGTGGGAAGAGTCTGTTGGAAGCAGACACCGAGCAGATGCGTCGGGAAGTATGATCGAGGGGAAGGGAGGCGGCAGTCACAGTCGCCATGATAGTCCCATGATGATTGTCGGAACATGATGGTCCGTGATGGAGCCCCGTCGTGGATACGGCATCGGGCTATGCTCGGCCGGGCACAGAAATAACCCAGTAAAGCCCTGGGCAGGGCTGGGCCGATCAGTGCGATGTCGGTAGATGACGTCACGGCGGCTGGGAGAGCAGTCGGGACGTCGCCACCTGACCTAGTGGTCAGTGAGACCTCCTATGGCGTCACTGGCCAACATCGCCGTTGCTGAGGAGGGTTCGCTGTGGCGTCGTCCCCGCATCACATGCGGCTGTCTTGTCGGCGTCCGTGGTGTCACTGACAGCGTCCCTGGAGGGTGTAGACGGGGTCATCGGTGCCGTCACCTGACAGCGTCTCGGGGGAGTGTAGGCGGACGTCGTCGGTGACGTCACCTGACAGCGTCCCGCGTGAGTTTGACGTCATCGGCGGGCTTGACCGGGTTTCGAGCTGAGATGGCGTCACGCCCGGCTGACGAGGCTGCAGCTCCACACGGCTACGACGGCGGCCGTCGGACGACCCCTGACCCTGCCGTCTCGGATACACGGTCCGGCTGGCCTGGGTATGAGGGGGCGGGGGTGACGTCGCCGGGCGGGGGCTGGCGGACGCTGGACCCACTCCCACGCGCTCAGAGTGCAGTGGACCCGTGCACGAGAGGTACTCGGCGGTCGCGGACGCACAGGGCTGGCCGGGAGCTGGTCCCAAGCCGCCGGTCTCTGCCGACGTGCCGCGCCGTGCTGGGCCGTGCCGGGCTCCAGGGTCTTGTTGCGGAGCGGCATAGCCTGTGTCGCAGTTAAGCTGATGGTAAAGGCTGGCTCAGTCGCCACGGGCTGAGTTATAGCGGGTCTGGCATCGTGTTGGAGGGGATCTCATTATTTGGACAACCATATTGCCAGTGGGCGGCAGCGGCGGCTATCAGTGATGGCGTGCCCATGGGTGACATCGGCCAAGTAGAAAGTTCCATGAACAGTCTGGGGATGGTGGCCTATCGCGGTGACTGTACGTGTGTACATAACACGGCTTATTAGGTAAGAAGTGGAAGTGTTGGCGGTCGTTACTGGGGCGAACGTTTTGGTCTAGCAATGACGCGATATGATGAGTGCCAATGTTGAGGTAGATGATAGAAGTATGATGATAGAAGTATACAGTCAAAACGGTCTTCAAAGGAGACGAAATTTACATTAAGAGAGACGCGGCCTTAGAGACGGAAGCGACTGGTTAGTGAGATTCAACGATACGGTGAACGAAAATGGAAAAAATTGCGACGCCCTGGGAGATTAAAGACAGTTGTAAGCGAAACAATACAGCAGTCATTTACTATGGCCTGCTGGAGAGTTTGCCAACTGATGTAAAAGGAGGCAGCGTAATGTAGCCGTATTGAATTCGATCTCGTAACGAGGTATACAAAGATATTAAGCCACAAAAGGAATTGGATACAGATGGAGCACTGAAAGGTCTAGCAGGCACCGTGAAATGCTTAAAGAGAATGCTCCAAATTTGAAGGCAATGAAGCAAGCATGATATATGATGAAATAAGCGTACTTAGAACTACTGGTGTACTTTAAAGTGAAAAACTGCTCCAGACAACACAATTTCTCTATTCGCTAAGTATGTTCCTTGTTACGTAATTGTTGGATTGCGTCATTGCACCTTGCACAACATTGTTTGAGAGCTAATTAACGTTCATTACATCTGGAAATCATGTTCACGATCGCCAGATATGAACGGCTCACCAATTCCATTTTTCTTGACCTTGATCGCCACATGGTGATGGAATGTCAGGATTTGAACGACGACGAACCCCTTGTCTAACACTCCCAAGTCTCTCGCCGAGCTGCTTCCTATACATACTGCAATCAGCTTGTATAGGAAGTAGCATTTGGTGGGCAGTCGATGGACGAGGTTGGTTAACGTAGATTGAGATTGGCACAGTTGTTAATCGGTGTTCTTAAGCTGTTTCTCAATCGCCACAAACACTTCCAAGCGAGTTAGCGCCGTCATAAGGTTCGTGAATAATGCCAAAACCCATAGGGTTAATCACTTGGCAGTGACTGAGTGTGTTACGCATATGGGGTTCGTAATGTATTGATGTCTACAAAGCGACAGCCGCAAAGTGACGGTGCAGAACTGCAGTGTATGGAGGGCAGTGCACAAGCTAAAATGTGAACAGGAATACAAATAACGGGTGTGGAAAAGGGACGAAATCCGGGTTCTGGTGGCGAACAGTCGCCGTGTCCCAGATCAGGGACCTCCGAGCTCAGAGTAGCAGCTGGTCCGGCCGCACGCCGCGACTCCGTGTGACCTTCGCGACCCCGTGCTGATGAACGGCCAACAATGGCCGCCCCGCTCCAGATCTCATTCCATTCCCACCCACCCCCCTCCCGGGCGGGTGTCAGCCAGCCCGCCGGTGGCCGTGAGATGACGTGACCCCCAGCGCCGCCGGCGCCGGCCCTGCTGACCTGGCGGCCTCTGCGGCAGGTGACTGCGCCACGTGCGGCGTGGTGCCGGGCGAGGCGGCCGAGGGCGCGCCGCCTCCGGACGAGACGGCAGAGCTGCCCGGGCACTCACGCAACTCCAGCAGCCAGTCGGGCTACGGCAGCCTCAAGTCACAGAGCCAGTCGGAGCCGTCCCACAGCCGGCAGAGCAGCAGCTCCGAGTCGGGCCACCTCAGGTACGGCGCAGAGTCAGGCGCGACAGGCCACCTCAGATATGGCGCAGAGTCAGGCGCGACAGGCCACCTCAGGTACGGCGCAGAGTCAGGCGCGACAGGCCACCTCAGATATGGCGCAGAGTCAGGCGCGACAGGCCACTTCGGATACAGCGCAGAGTCAGGCGCGACAGGCCACCTCGGGTACGGCGCAGAGGCAGGCGCAACAGCTCCGTGTGAGGCCACCTCAGGTACGGCGCAGGGTCAGGAGCGACAGGCCACGTCGGGTACGGCGCAGAGGCAGGCACGACAGGTCTGAGTCTAACCACATGGAATACGGTACAGAGCCAGTTACCACGACAGTGGGTCAGAGCACCTCAGGTACGCACAGAGTCAGGCGCAACAGCTCCGGGTGATTCCACTTCAGGTACGGCTCCGGGCGGCAGCCCCGGGCGGCACGGGGTCAGGGTGTTGTGGGGCGGCTGGTGACACTTGTCAGGTGTGATGGCATGGAAGGAACGGCAGGTGACCCTGGGCTGCATCAGCCGCCACGATGTAAGCTGGCAGGTGACCCTTGTCAGGTAGGATGCTGTAACAACTGGATTACTCACAGCAGGTGCAACACGGTGGCAAGGCAGCTGACCCACCCAAAACGCCACACCACCGGCGTGTGACCCACAGCTGAACCGACCGAAACCGACACGAACGGGGGGGGGGGGGGGGGGATGAGGCACCTGGAGCAGGCAGGCGAACGAAGCTGGCTTCGGTTTCAGTGTTGACTGGGCGAAGCTGCGATCTTTATCCAATGGTTTTGCATGATGCTTTGGCTTGAGCCATTTTCCACGACTGGCTTCGGCTTTGGCTTCGGCGTCGTGCCATTTGAAACGGCTGGCCACAGCTTCGGGGTGATGAAATTTTTGAAAGCTGCTTAGGCTTCGGCTTCTAACAGATTTTGAATGGAGGTTCCGGTTTTGGCTCCATGGAATTTTGCATCGCTAGCTTCGGCCGTTTGGCAATTTTCACTGTAGTTTCGCTTTTCCTTCTCAAAATAGTAATCCCGTGGTGTAGCTGAAATAGAGCTTCCCATTCTTTTTGAGGCTGTGACGCATACATGGATGAAAGCCTAACCAACCGGTCAACCTCAGGACCAATCATCACCTAACAATGTCCGGATAGCTAACTGCTTGAAACGTCGAGTGCATACTGGCACAACACAAACACATCAGTCTGAATAATCTCCCATCCGCGATGTTACCACTACGTCTCAATGAATCTGTTAGCACCCCTTCTCAATGAATCTGCAAAACTCGTGTATTTTCCGATCCAAACAGTTATAGCAAACGTGGAAATGGTTTTGGTTTCGCAAAACTACTTTGCACACTAGATTCGGCTTCGGCTTGGGCGTTGTGGCTGCGAACTCGTGGATCTTGCTTCAAGTTTCCTAAGTTCAAGGCCGCTGGCTTCTGTTTCGGCTACGCGCGTACAGAGCTCGGAGCGACTGGCTTCATTTTGCTGCGCGTTTTAAGAATGCAAGGCTACTGGCTTCACAGTTCCCAACTTCAAAGCCGCCCGCCTCTGCTTCGGCTCCACGTCATTGGTGTGAAGACGGTGTGAACCTGCAGGATGATGGTAGCGATACACGCACTCCCAAGGAAGCGCCGCAGCGGCGAGACGGCGCTGGCGTCGAGTTATTGACAGCTTATTCGTGTACCCGCGTGTCGGCGCATGTAAACGCCGCGTCGCGTGCCGGCGCAAGCACTGGCGTCTCACGCCTCGCCAACCTCCGCTCCGCGTCCCAAAGGTGCAAGGCTGATTCCTCGCACGTCCCCCCCTCCCCCCGTCGCCGTCTGTGGCTGTTACCGGGCTCGCGGCCGGTCCCAGCTGTTCCAGTGCGGTGGTGCGGCGTGACCGTGCCTGAAACAGCTCCTCAGAATTAATTTGCCATGAATCATGCGCGGGACTTTTCCAATTAGAGTAAGAGCAGTGGCGCCCTTGCAGTCGACTCGAGCCTTGCCGCGGCGCAGGGGGGCACTCAGACGCGAGCCTCCGGGGGCCCGTCCCTCGTCCGCGTGCCACGTAAGCAATGGCTAGCTGTCGTCATGAGACACGTGCATTATTTGGCACGGATGGTCGACGACAGAGTCCTGAGTGCAGCCCCAGGTTCTGCGGTGCTAGGTGTCCGTATCCAACGGACCACTCTGGCTCCGAATGAACGATTAGCCCGAGCTGAGCACTGGACTGGGAAGCACTAAGCAGCAGGGGTGGCCGCTGCCCGTCGGGTTGGCTCCCGAGGCGTGCCCGGCGCAGGCGGGCGGTCTCAGCCGCTGCCCGTCGGGTCGGCTCCCGAGGCGTGACCGGCGCAGGCGGGCGGTCTCAGCCGCTGCCCGTCGGGCCAGCTCCCGAGGCGTCACCGACGCAGGCGGGCGGTCTCAGTCGCTGCCCGTCGGGCCGGCTCCCGAGGCGTCACCGACGCAGGCGGGCGGTCTCAGCCGCTGCCCATCGGGTCGGCGCTCGAGGCGTGGCCGACGCAGGCGGGCGGTCTCAGCCGCTGCCCGTCGGGCCGGCTCCCGAGGCGTCACCGACGCAGGCGGGCGGTCTCAGCCGCTGCCCATCGGGCCGGCTCCCGAGGCGTGCCCGGCGCAGGCGGGCGGTCTCAGTCGCTGCCCGTCGGGCCGGCCCCCTAGGCGTCACCGATGCAGGCGGGCGGTCTCAGCCGCTGCCCGTCGGGCTGGCTCCCGAGGCGTGCCCGGCGCAGGCGGGCGGTTTCAGCCGCTGTCGCCGACACCGCCGTGACAATCAGATCGTTGACCGCCGCACGCAGCCGTGTGACTGGACGCAGTCGACGAGAGATGCGGGAGAAGCCGGCGAGGCTACCTGCGCTTATGCACGCTGATAGCTCCATTCGCCGTACTGATCCATCAAGTTGTGCCATCATAGTATCTTCACTGGCGTTCCGTAGGTTTGCGTGGTGATTTTAGGCCACGTGAAGCGACAGGTGCAAATAAGTCCCTTTCTCATGCGGCCCGCTTGGAATCCTGAGAATTGTGGATTGCACCGCCCTTTCTGTTCAGTCAACTCCTCACGCCAAAGCTCAAAGCAAACACCACCCCAGCGCGGATCGGTGCGCGTCCGATTGTGTCGTGGAATCAGCTGTGTTCACAGAGCAGCCGCCCACGATCAAAAGATTGCCGCGGGCTCAGTATCGCGTCGAACGTCCCATCCGGGCACCTCTTGGCGAGTGTTTAGAGGGACGCTAGCCGCGGTCATTCAGTGAGCTCACCAATCCTTTCGGGCGGTTTTGTTCGATCTCAGCTTCACACAGGCGTCTGTACCCTGGCGGCCAGCTCGGAGACCGGGCAGGTGAGAGGCTTCGACGTGATGATTAACGGCGCCGCTCCGCCCTGCAGGTCTTCCCGGGAGGCCGAGCACGCCGCGCCGTCCCCAGTCGCAGTGTGAGAGAGCCACCCTAGGCTGCTGCGACAGCCCCGCGTCGCCGTCGTATGGCTGGCTTTAGCATGCGTGTCGGAAAAACAGCACTCTGGATTAAATTCTGGGGTTCTGGTGTCGGCAGTCGAATTTCTAACATCACTGAGGCCAGGACTACGGACCACCACCGTGACCGTACCGGTGTTTCATCCTAGCTGGAGCGTAGCGTAGCTATGCAATCTTCCTCTTTTCATAGTGCTTTTAGAACAAAATTAGAACACCGCCCATGTCTCGTTCGATGGCACCTTTCGGTCATGTGCTTTGTTGTTTTGGTAAGATGGTTGACTGATCGGTTGACCGAGTGCTTGATGAAAGGATGGATTGACTGATGGTTGCTTGTCTCGCTGTTTTTTTTCTTGATTTATCCATTGCCTGGTAGGCTGGTTAGTTGTGTGGTTGATGGGCTTGTTGACAGGTCTGTTCGTTGGTTGGATAGTTGTTTGTTTCGTTGGTCGCTCAGCTGACTGTGTGGCTGGTTGTGTGTCTGTCGGTCCGGGGCGATTGCGTGTGTGGGTGACTTGGTGACTGGTCGTGTGCCGGCACTCTGACGTCGGCCGCGTCGCCAGGACCACCAGCAGCGGCTCGGGCCTCTCGGACTACAACTCGATGGAGCGCGCCGCCGCCGGCGACAAGCGCAAGAAGGAGGCGTCGGCCTGCTCGCGGTTCGACGCCACGCGGGTCGATCCGGAGGACGTCATCAACGACCTCCTGCAGAACGCCGAGCTCAGCACGGACCCGGACGAGTCGGCCGAGAGTGAGTCGCCGCCAAACCCCCACGCCCAAACGTCAAAACATCAAAAGGTAGCCTTTAAGCCGGTTTTGCTGTTAGACATTCCTACGAGCGTCCTGAACTGCCAATGCCTCGGAGGGGAGGCAAGGCCCGATTAATCCCCCCCCCCCCCCCCCCCTCTGGCTACGTCACGGATCATGATTGCTCGGGGCCGCCGTGGCCGCGATGGTGGCGAGGCCGTCGTGTGACGCCTGAATGGCGACTTGTTTTTGTGTATCCATCAGCGGTACTCAGCGCGTTTGAAGCCTTTGATCTGGAAACCACATGTAATGTGCGGGTTAAGCTGGCGCGATAAAAGGAGGAAACCCCTTAGGGGATAGGACCATTCCTCTCGCTTTGCTCCCGCACGCGGTGTGATGAGGGCCTGCTCGGCGGGGCCCGGCGGTGGTTCTGGATTATGTGCGGCCGGGCGGCTGCCGACCGTCCGCTGACGCCGCTCGGCCGTGTGCTGCGCTCAGCGCCGCGTTAGCGCGCGCCGGGCGGAGACCCGCTGGTGACATATGCATGCGTCACCAGCTGCCCTGGCGAAGCACGTATATGTGGCTGGTATCGATGCCGGCTCCGGGTTGATGTCCTTGCTGAGTACTGGGTGAATTCGCTTTAGCGCTATTGGCTGGAGTTGTTGGCCTCGTTCCAGGTCGTGCTGTGACATGCCGTATTTGTGTCTCTCCTGGTCCGCTCCTGACCCCCTCCGCTCGTGTTGTGCCGTGCCGCACCTGTGTCGCCAGGTTCGCTCCTGCTCTCTCTCACGCCCCCCCCCCCCCCCTCCGCTCGTGCTCTGCTGTGCTGTGCTGTGCCGTACCACCGTCTCGCCAGGCCCGCTGCTCACTGCCGTCCCTCGTGCCGCAGCATCCGGCCTGCAGCTGTTCGTGGCCAGGGACGGCAGCACGGCCTTCACGTCCGGTGCCCACGCTGCCAGCTACCAGCCGGTGGTGATCAGCAAGCGGTAGTGGGTGGGCTGGCCGGCTGGGCCGCCCCGCGCCCCCGGCGTCCGGCGGAGGGCGCCTCTAGTCCTGCGGCGCGGGGCGGCCGCCGGCCCGCCGGCCCGACACCACCGCAGCGGTGTGTTCAGTAACCAGCCACAGCGCCGCCGGCCCGGGTGTGTTCTTTGGTTTTTTGGCGTGCCGCGTGGACGGAGCATGCTGTCGCGCGCGGCGTCTGGGCAGAACGGGACGACTATTGTCCCTGCTTCGGCCACTGCTTGTGCATGCCAATGCCGGTCATTATGTGTTGTGTGTGGCCGGCCCCGGGCCTCTCGCGCGTCTGCCGGCCGCGGCGTGACGGCACCCGCTTGGCGCTCCGACAGCGAGGAGGAAAGACGTGTTTTCTAGTCCAGCGCAGCTGGTGGTTGCTATTCCTCGCAATATGATTACACTGTGTCTCGCCGTCTCTTTTCTACGTGGTCTTTGTGGGCGATTTACGTCTGAGTTGTTCGTATTATTCGTGGAGCTCGATATGAATGCGACTTCCGCTGATGTTTTATCATTGACGACTTCATGAATGGCTGCGCTTGCCTTTGATATCGTGCTTGTCTTGAAGCGTTAATGGTGCTTTGACCCGGGCAGGATTTCGTTCGAACAGACGTGATTGTCAAGCTCCGGTGCCAAATGGATGTTTTTTGCGTTTCGTGGAACAGTTTGTAATGCTTTATCCGTCTCCGACTTTCAAATTTTTACGAATCGTGTTGACTGCATAGAAAAGAATAAAGTCTACTTAATTCGGTATAGTCGATTTCTGGTGGCGTATGTGCTCGTGGGCGGTGGCTTGCCTCGGTTGTGAGCCTAAGCCGTGCTGGCGTGCTCTCGCCCGCCTGCTCCCATGGTCTCACATGTTTGGCACTTCTGGCGTCAAATCATGGGTGACTATGACACCGGGAACACAGAGAACGTGCTACCGGTCTGCCGTTTAATCATGGTGGAGTGCGCGTCAGTTTGCATTACGTTATTCCTTACAAAAGCAAGGCATTCCACGTGCTTACGAGCATCCCGTTAAGGAACGCTGCCTTTTTAAGTGCGTAGGCAGCTGTGCGCCCTCATGATCATTTGGTACATTTTACTCAGACAGTTTTCCCGCGAGTAGTATTTTGCGAAGTTTTGTCCCCAGCATGGGCAAAACAAAGCAGAACTTCCGGTCCATGTGAGGCGAGTACGGTGGAGACTGTGTCAGGCGAGCACAGTGAAGCCTGTGTCAGGCGAGCACAGTGGAGCCTGTGTCAGGCGAGTTCGTTGGAGCCTGTGTGGGGCAAGTATGGCGGAGTCTGTGTGAGGTGAGCACAGTGGAGCCTGTGTGAGGCGAGTACGTTGGACCCTGTGTGGGGCGAGTACGGTGGAGTCTGTGTTAGGTGAGCACAGTGGAGCCTGTGTGAGGCGAGGCGGTGTAGGCCACTGGAGGTGAGTACGGTGCAGCCTATGTGAGGATTATGGTGGAGCCTGTGTGCAGTCAGTACGGTGACATCTTTAGAAGGCAAATACGATGGAGCTTATTAGATGCATGTTCGTCCTACGGCAGTATGTTGGGTACTGTACGTATCTTAGCAAGCCCAGGGCAAGGGCAATAGGTAAGATACGGTACGTATCTTGGCAAGCCCAGGGCAATAGGTAAGATACGGTACGTATCTTGGCAAGCCCAGGGCGGTAGGTAAAGTACCTACGTATCTTGGTAAGCCCAGGGTAATGGAACATTGGGTACTCGAAAGTGTTGCCTAGCAGTACCAAACACACAAGATACAGGATCGGGGTTAAGACCAGATTCGTGATGTACTAAAAGTTAGCAGTGCTGAGCTAGCGGCATCTTCGTGGTGTGGCTGTGGCGACTAAATGTCGTCTCGTCTATCAATCATAATGCGCATGAATTTCGGTGTAGCAGTCGGGCTGGGGAATTCAACGATTTACTCAACAATGAGTTCCGATTTTCCCGAAAACGCGTCTGATGGTCAAATTTGGCACGAGAACATAAAATTACGTTTCTATCGTGTGACCTTCAAGGTTGGCATGAAGGTCAAAGGACGAGGGACTCCGTGATAACGAAAAATTACTGGCCGATTTCAAGTTTTCGAGCATCATGATATTCACCACAAAAGAAACGCGTCCATCACAGCATCCTTGCGTCTTGAGATCATCTTTCAAGGTCAAATTTACGCTCAAAGGACGGTGAATTCCACATCACGAATAATGTCGGCTGATTTTAACTTTTCAAGCGTCAAAATATTCACCCCCGCATAAACTAGTATCCGTCAAAAAGTCCTAGCCTTTCAAGGCCCTTTTTGAGGTCAAATTCAGGCTGAAGGACGCCCATGCAGCATGTCTTACTGGGACCCATGTGAGTTCGAGATGGACAGCCATATGGGGCCATCTGGTCTGTCCAATGCAGATCCACGTGGGCGTATTTAGCTGGGTTCCATATAGGTGTTTCTAGCTTGAACCCAAATAAACAGCCCGGATGGGACCCAAACGACCAACCCCGACGGGTCCCAGTTGGGCTTCACCAATCTGCTCTTTCTCAAATCTCAAATGTCAAAGTCCAACTGATTGCTGGAGCGCCGTCTTCTAGGCAGACAGCTATACATCATCAATAATGAGCCAGGTCAATATTTATTCACCTTGTATTTGTCCGAAATTGCCTCGGCAACAACACCGTTGCACAAAGCGTACACTTTTCTGTGGTCATATCCGATGCGATGACCACTAAATTATTCAACGTATACTAAGCGTTGATGTTGCTGTCATTGTTGGCGCGGTGTTTCCTGGCGTCGTCGCAGTCCCTCCCGCCGGAGCCATTTTCCTGCTACCTTCTCTGTTTCGTTGCGGGAGACACCGTGGCTCACTGTGCCGCGCAGCAATATTTGGCTGAAATTTACCCCTGAAAAAGCAATATTTAGTATATCGGGTCATTATCCCACGTCCTGGGTGTAAATGATAGCTCATGTGCACAGTTTTTTTTTTTTACTGAAACAACTGATCTTATGTCAAGTCGTTTACCGCGGTCGATTAATATGAGGGCATCTGCGTCGAATAATAGTGCAGAAATGTGAATGGAAGAACATGTCAGCGGCTGCAAGCAGCGATATAACTTGATGCCACGGCCTTTTTGAGAGACGCATCCCGGTATAAATCTTTTTTTGTGATTTTGTGCGAGCTTGGAAGCGATTTTTGCCGGGATGTGGCGCAGACAGTGGACTGTGGACAATGCAATCTCTGCATGCACTCTCTTCGAGTAATTGCATGAAGGACTTCACATCAGGCTTCTTACATAGAGTACGTGCATGAAAGCCGGCTTGAGTTGGTTTTGCCTGTGACCACAATGATAACAGCATCAGAATATCAACGGTGCCATTTCTGAGCGTAATCAAGCAAAACGTTTATATTTCGTGAGAAAAAAAGTGGAGCGCTTTTTTATTTTGGCAGGACAATGCTAATAATAAAATTAAATCACGGTCATCATTAGATAGGCTGGAGCTTAGCAAGATAGCTGCCGGCTGTCTGTGAGGGAATACGATATTACGTCGATACATTATTTTGTATAGAGCTGTTTTTTGTTTTTTATGTTTTTTTTACTGTTTATTACGCACTCGCAATTTGCCCCTGCACTGGTTGGCCTGCGGTTGATGGCAACAAAAGCTGCTCTTAATATGGCAAACTCTGTCAGTCTCAGTTTTAAAAAGAATGCAGCCATTTCTTTCTCCTGCCACGATTCCAAAACTTAATTTGCTAGTGTTTGTCCGCAAGTGTTCAGAGAAATGAAACCGGTAAAACGGGCTTGTTTTCGCCGTATGTTTACCACGGAATTAGCAACAACCGTGGCAAAGGAAACTCCCGCTGTAAATTTTGGCAGAACTTAAGGTGAAGTGTGAGCCGAATAGCACGAACCCATATGGTACAATACCTGTTTTCCTAAGCATGACGATTCTGGAGCAGCACCAGCTGTTTTTGTTGGAAGCCTCTGATTGCTGTGCCAGCCTCATGGCATACATGACACTTCCGAGGGACCAGGACCAGTCCTCCACCTGTCTGTCCTCCAGAACAGAGCAGCCGCAGTTCTCAGCAGCCGTTCAGCAGTTTAACAGCAGTTCATGTATCCAGCTAACCAAGAGCTGGCGTTGATGCCCCCCCCCCCCCCCCCCCCATCGAAGTCCGCCACAGCGAACAGTATATTACCGTAAAAATACGCGATAAACGTGATGTGGACTGACAACACCACTAGCACAACGCCTGCATATTGCGAGCGTATTAAGACAAACAGGCAAAGCGATTTCACAAATGTATTGTCGGTGATGTGCGAAGTCACAGAGGCACAAGGCCTCGTCTAAGAAATTTTCCCTGAGGAGGGTTAGGTGGTGTTAATTGTGTTTTTGCATTGGAAACTATCTCAGAGATGTATGGCATGATGTCGTCAAATACGTTGCATTAGATTGAACGATTCCCTAGATGTTGCCTTCGCTGACAGCCATGGTCTGACTTTGATCTGCCAGGACAGCGCCAACGTCATCGAATAGCTGGAGCAGGTGTTCCGTGAGAGAGGAGCACCGACGGAACTGTTGACCGATAACGCGACAGTTTTCCGCAGCCACGCTTTTGGAAGCTTTGCGGAGCGGTGGGGCGTCGTGGTGCGGTTCCGAAATGCGGATCAGCCATCAGGAAACGGCGTAGTGGAGCGCTGTCACCGTACGGTGAAGCGAATGGTGGCCCGCACCAGCTGCCCCGTGCTGGACGCCGTGTACTGGTATAGCGTTACGCCTAAGGACGACGTGAGCGCCGGTACGGCACCGGCGAACGTTCTCTACGCATATGAGGCGAGAGTTCGCGGCATTGACAAGAACGAGCACGATCCCGGGGCTGTGACATGTCTATCCAGTGTCGGCGATCAGGTGTGGATTCGCGACCCAAGTCGCAGATGTGACGCCCCTAGCGCGACTGGAACCGTGACCCGCGTAGTATCGCCTCAAACTGTAGAAGTAGACGGGGTGCCACGTCACGTGCGTGACCTGCGAGCAGGCAGCGCCCCGACGCGTGAAACGCCAGCTAAGGAGACCGGACCAAGTACTTAGGTAGGCGATGAAGACGCCGACGACTGCGGCTGCTGGCCGGTACGGCGGGAAGATGACGGCCAAGCCGAAGCGCCGCCAGCTGTGGCGGACAGAGCAGTCCGCGACGAGACGCAGGAGGAGGCAGCGGGCGGTCCCCCGAGGAAGAAGAGGGGATCTACAGGGGAGAGGAAAGAGAGGGCACTCCCGCCGGAGAGCCCAGGAGGAGTCGCAGTCTGGTCAGACCACACGTCTGCGACATGTGCGACGAGCATTGATTCACTCTGCGGCGTTCGCACAGGATCTGGCGGGAGTGTGACCTGCTGATTGAGTTTGTGATCGTTGGATCTGGGGGGAATGTTAAGGGAAACCTTCATCTGGTGCGCGGCGGAAGCGGCGAAGTGGGTGCAAGGGGCGAGGAACAGCGGAGAAGGAAACATTTTTGCGACAGCAGTGTTGGGCAGGGAAAATGCCGAGGGGACGCGTAGCTTGGAGGGCAGGGTACCGAGCTGTGTACGCTGTTGGAAGCCAGCCGGAGTGACGTGCTGCATGGCTCAAATACATAGCATTTTTGAGATCAGCTAGCTGCTTCTTATACATGTAATCAAGCGTGCAGCGATTAGTTCTGCAGAATTTCCAAGACATTGGTTCCCTTTCTCCTATACTTGGGCCTTCAGCAGCAAAGGATGACAAATCACCCGATCAATCCACCAGTACAAGCGTCTTCGGACGCCACCGGCTCCCATTAGCCGACCTGGCCTTTCGGTGATGGTCAGTAGGCTACTATACTTCACCATGTGAAGTATAACACATGTGGCGGTTCACCAACATCCGTGGTATCGACCTCCGCTGGACCGTCGCGCTCCATTCAAGCAACCACTGCAATCGCTAGACAGCGGCATATTTCAGCAAGAGTGTCGCAGATCAATGCCGGGGGATAGCATACGGCGGGCGGGCTGATAAGACCCCTGGGAGGGTCTTCAGTGCTGCTTCAGTGACCAAGATGGGTGCTGGTGCACGCGGGTGCCGGTGGGGCGGCGACGTCCGCATCCTTCTACGGTGGACGACCCGCACAGCGCTGCTGCTGCTGCTGCTGGCCCTAGTGTGGGCGCAGGTGCTGGAGTACCGTGCTGAGCCGGTCAGCTCCACCACGGTAAGGCGGGTGGCTCCGTTCCCGCGGCTCACTCTCTGCCCCGGCCATCGACTCGCGGAGGGCCTGATCATCGACCTGTACCACCAATTGGCCAACGGCTCGCTCTCGATCGCCGCGTTCTACAACCGGACCACACTGGAGATACTGCCCAATGGCGCTGGCCTGCTGGAGATCATCAGAGATCACCAAGAAATCAGCAGCGTACCCCTGCCGGGGCCGCTCGGCATCTGGCGGAAGCGTTTCTTTCTGCATCTGGGCGAGCGGAGGTGGCGCCCGATGCGCTGTTTGACGTTCGAGCCGAGCGCGGCACTACACCAGAGCGCCCACAGCCCATTCTCGGCCCGACTGCTCCTGCACGTGCCCGTCCTCTTCACTGGCAGCATCGACAAGGTGGCCTACCGGCTGTACGTGCACGGGCCGGAGGAACCGAGCGTGGGCGACCTGCCGGCGCCGCGGCTCGACATGCCCGTGCCGGTGACACCGACCCGCGAGCTGCGGGCTGGCAGGGCCACCGGCTACCGCGTGACAGCGCGCCTGCGGCGGCTGGTCAACGTGCGCCGGCAGCCCTGTCGCGAGGAGCCGAGCTACTCGGTGGCCCGCTGTCTAAAGGAGTGCCAGTGGCGGCGGCTGGCGGCGCGTATGGGCTGTCGGCTGCCGCACATGGTGTCTCAAGACGCGTTTCTGCCCGAGATGCGGGGCCCCCTCGACCACCTGCCCGTGTGCTCAAGGCTCGTGCAGTCAGAACGAGGGAAGAAACGAACGGTCCTTCCCTATCAATTAAAGGACCCGGCCTGCCAACGACAGGCTTCCTCATGGAGCCGGCCCCGACTGGAGGACCTCTCATACGCGACGGCAGCGATCGGGAGGCAGGCCGCGAACAAAGCCCGCGGTGACCGTCGGCGACGTACCGCCTCTTCACGAAGCAGAGGCGCTATACCGCCGCCGCCCCTACCTTTGGCGACCATACCGGCAGTGGCGCAGTGCGTGCCCAATAGCCTGGCAGAAGACTTGCGCGGCTGCGACTGCCCCAGCGCATGCCGCGGGGTCGCCTATAACATACACCAAGAGAGCCTGACGGGAGGATATGACAGCATCAACGTTACCTTGTCTCGGTGCCTTACGGAGGTGTCCTTGACGCTGGACCTGGCTGCCGACGAGGTCCAGGAGGCGCTCGCCTTCACGCAGAGCACGCTTTTGGCCAACATAGGCGGCATCCTCGGTCTGGTCACCGGGTTTTCGCTACTCACGTTGACAGAGTCTGCGGAGGCTTTGGTATGGGGCGTCGGCAAAAGAGAGCAGTGCAGCTACATGGGGAAATCGAAGCGTCAGAACCCTCGTGCGATCTCAGCAGGGACAACAGCATGGCCTGAGAAAGCGGTCGCAGATGCTACCATTCTGGAGATAAGCACGGAATAGCCGTTTTGGTTGTGTGGAGAAGAGAAAATGGAGACGGAGACGGCCTAAAGCTGTCTCCGTCTTGTTGCGTTTTGTTCTGATTGCGTCGAAAACTAAGCACGACGGCGAGCTGTAGGGAGAGCGGGCCAAACCATTGAGTTAAAGATGGCGAAACAAGCACCGGAACTGCGATATTGAAGCTCACCTTGACACTCTCCCTTGGTCCCCTGCTCTTCACGAAAAGTTTCTCATTTTTGAACGTCGCTCCAAGCGAGCAAGTACAGCAGCCACGTGCTGGCGGTGCACGGTTTTGGACCACCTCGGTTCCAAGCTCTGGTCAAGCACTCGCAGTGCCGAACCTGTGGTGAGGATCGGTTTCCGACAGATTGTCTCCAGCATTATACCGCGTCTTACTTCGTGCCGCCCTCCCGTCCCGTTCATCCTGTCCTTTCCAAGACTCTCTGTCTCTTCATTCGCAGAACTCTACAAAGGACGCACCAACGGAAGACGTCTGAACCCAGCTAAGCAAAGGCGCAAGCAAGCATTACAAACAGCAGATAAAGCGGAATGCACCGAATGCGTTTCCCTTGGCTATTAAGAGTCTCTGCGGGAATGCTGATATATCTGCCTGAGAAGCGCCTTTCCCGCAGTTACCCTCACGCCAACTCACGCGTTCCAACTAGTACAGAAGCAATACTGCACACCTCGTCGCAAAAAAAGGAAATCACGCACCCTCCGGGAAACGTGTCATTTTCACCCCAACATTGGTGGGGAAGGCTTTACGAGATGGGACGGGGGATGGGATGGGATGGAGGAGGGTAGGCAAACTCGATATGTGCCCCACTTTCTTCCCATGCACCGCCACGTATTTAATGAAATGTTAATCGGAGTAGTGCGGGGGAGGGGCAGCTTCCTCCGTTCCCTCATCCACCACCCTTGCTTTCCACGCTTGCGCCGTAGCCAATGCATCGAACCAGCCTTCGCTGATGATGTCAGGCGTTTCGCCGCGGCGCACGTTCGAGACCCCTAGACACGGGCATTCCTACACCGTTTTAGCGAGCCTGGTTAAAAGGCATTTCTTCCAGTCCTGGCAAGAATACACCACTTTTTCTTTGCATCAGTTGGCACGGAGGCACCCACTTGTTCACGCTCTTGGCAGATGTCGTGGTCACCTGCCCGGGCCGTGTGCTGGAAATGTGGGGTCCAAATCCGCAAAGAAAACATTACATTGCAGTGGGCCCGAATCTGCAGTCGGAAACTTAACAGAAATCGGAAACAAACTTGCGACCGGGAGGGCGAACAGAGTTGGCGATTTTTAAATTGTCTGGCAACACCCATCAGCCTTCATCGTCCCGATCCCTCGAAAAAAACAGAATATTGAAAGGATTTAGAAAACAACGCCGTGAGCAGTGAAATCTTTCGCTTTTACGGTGGAAACAGAATCTAGGTGGATAGAATCTATTGCATACGTACACAGGCATACCCTGGTGTTGTATATGCCCACACCAAATACACGGACGTCAATAATGAATACAATTATCTCCAACGATTCCATGGTATATTTCTGGCCCTGATCACCACGCGTGCATATCATCTTTCGCAGCATCACCAGGGATGACTCGACGTTGTTTGCGCGGTGAAGAACGATAAGCATGCACCTGAATGCCTGCGGCGCTCTGACCCGAAAAGGAACAGAACGGCACAAGCGGATAGAGGCTGGCAAATTTGGATAGGAAGCATGATATGGGTATCACAGTCTCGTACCGAGCGGCGCACTGCAGGCTGCCTCACTGCATGGGTAGCCGTCACCCCGCTGCCTCGCTTCTGACGCCCCAATGCTCAGGACTTCGGCTCTTCCACGTTCTGCATGTTCTCTGGAGGAGGTGAACATCACATGACGTGAAAAACTAGATAGCGCTTTGGTTACTGGTACATTTGGTACAGGTGTCAGTTATTAGCAAGCCAAACCAAACATTGGCAGGGACACTGGTCATTTTCCTGATAAATATTTGTTTGGAGCTTTAAACCGGTACTATTGGTGTGCTGATCCGTGGGCACTACGACTATCTTAACGCTATGACCGGTTTGCGGGATGAATTAATTGACATAACATCATAAAGCACGGTGCCACGAAAAAATATGGACTCAGCTGAAACCAAGAACGACAGAACCATAGCAAAAAGGAAAAGGAATATAGTTGGTCTGCTTAACCCCCGAGAGCAATCTTTCACATGAACCATATGGTGCATCTCACCACTGACTCTCCGGCGGATAGTCTGGATATCTTCGGCAGTATTGTAGTCCTTTCTTAAGCCTGGACTTACAGCCAGATCATAGCTGGGTCCGTAGTTGATGAAGAACTGAAGAAGGTAGCACATGTCTTGGAACGGACCTTTGGACATGTTGTCACGTGTCTTTTCACCGGTACAGAGTACTAAAAAACAATAGCATATCAAAATGTTCAATTAAAATCGCATACGCTGTGCAATGTGCGTTGGTCGCTGCTGGTACTACTGGAAGTGGCTGCCGCCTCCCCTGGTATTCCGAGATCACGAATCCCGCCTCCCCTGGTCGTCCGGAGGCACGGCTGCCGCCTGACCTGGTGTTCCGGGAGCAGGGCTGCCGCCTCACCTGGTGTTCCGGGAGCACGGCTGCCGCCTCACCTGGTGTTCCGGGAGCACGGCTGCCGCCTCACCTGGTGTTCCGGGATATCGTCAGGCAGCCGGCGGCCCAGCACCAGCGCCGTCAGCTGCGCCCAGCAGCGTGCCGCGTTGGCTGGGTGGTAGCCGCCGCCGCCCAGCAGCAGGATCGGCCGGTGGGCGGCCAGCAGGCGTGCCACGCAGCGGGCCAGCGCGGCCGGCGTCAGGCTGAACGTGCCCAGCGGGTCGCCGGCCAGGCCGTCGGCGCCGCACTGGCACACCAGCGCGTCCGGCCGAAAGGCGGTCAGCACCGGCGTCACCGCACTGCCCGCAGCGGGGCCGACCGTCACCTCACGACGCCGGATCGGCGGAGGGACGCCGGGTCGTGACCCGGGGACGAGGCGACGACAGTGGACTGGTGAACCGGCGGCGAGGCCGAGACCGGAGGGGCGTGGCGGGACGGCCGGCGCCGCCGAGTCACAGCCCGTCCCCGTCAGTGGAGTAACGTCACAGCCATCTGGCGCGGCCACCAGGGTGACGCGATCGCGCTGAGGTCCAGCTAACAAAACACGTGACGACAATCCAGCTGGGCGAGGGAGAGAGAGGGATGGGGCACAATGACTTGACGCGAACACAATCCATCGTGTCACCCGAGCACGTAAGGACTGGGAATCGGAGACATTGGTTGGCTACGACAAAGTGCCCAGCCACTGTGAGGATTGAACGTAGGGGCTGCAGCGGGGAGTACAAGTTTTCTTCGCTGCACGGATAAGATTGTGAAATATTTTATGTCGCATTTATATTGGGTATAAATAACATCTACGAACGAACAAAAACAACAGGAGGAAGCGGATAACTCGGCGTGATCACAAACATCCCGGAAGAAAATTGACCGAACCAAGATGTCAGCCAAAGACCATCAGGACAATCTCCGTCACGACATTTCCGGCCCGTACGTCCGGTGACGATGGACAAAGTGACGTTTACTTGCATCAGTTAATGCGGCTTAGATCGTCGCATGTAGCCCCGGGAGTTCTGAGATTAAACACATTTGGACACACGCATGTGTTCACACAAGGAACTGAAGGAACCAGGCGTAACCACTGCAGGGAAACGAAGTAAGCTTACCTATCAAACGCCGTGTAGAACGTATCGTCGGTGGCGCCCTCCTTCAGCGGAACATTGAAACAGAAGTATCGGCCACGACCGTATCCGACGTCATCCATACTTCCTGGAAAAATACGATGGACAGGGTGAAATCATCGCATTTAAAGCTGTCCCTGGGCAGGTGACGTGTTTTCAAAAATAGCTTTGGTGAGTACTGTGCGACGCAAGTTATCTGTTGAAAAAGCGCGGGTTTTCTACACCGATTACAACCGACGGTGCCAGCCATCGTTCGAATGGCCACGAAGCCAATGCATGATGTCTATGGCCGTCAACATCATCGTTAATGTCGCGATCTAAGCTGCTGCTACGTCCCTGTAAACAAGCATCGCTCGCTGATGTACCGCCCACGAAACTAGGCCTGGTCGCGCGCTGAGGTGCGGGAGGCTGCAGGGCCGGGTGGTTCAGGGGGCCGGAAGAGGCCCGACCCCGCCCCCAGGTCAGGACAGCCAGATGGACTCGCGCCGGGAAGCAGAGGTGTTGCGACCATCTGCCCAAACATCTGTCGTAGGGCCGCGGGCCACTGCTGGGCCGAACACAGAACTGAGGCAGTCTGGGCGTGTTTGGTTTTCAAACTTACTACGGCGCGTGGCAGTGGCCACTGAGGTACGACCGCATACATATATCGCTCGCTTGCCGCGTTTACCTGTGCCAGGAAAGTAGCCATCTTCGTAATGGTGGATGGACAGCGTGAATACCTTCGAAGAATACATAAACGCATTTTCCACCCCATCGCCTGCCAAATGTACAAATAATTAGGCAAAATGGATGTGAAGACCAAGGGAGATACATTGGGAAGGAGTAACTGGGACACAGGCGACATGTTGCCACAAATAAAACATGCAGCAAACGAACGAAGTACATCGCAACCACCATGGCCTAAAGACCAGAACCTTTGACTGAGGAAAATGGCTTTAAATGGAATAAAGGGTGACAGATGGCCCCACAAGGTGACCGAGTCAATGGTGTCCAGACTTCGCGGCTTTGTGTACAGCATAGCACAAAACAGCAGACTGCCTCTACTTTCAAAAACGCATAAGCAATGCTCACTTTGAGATAACGACGAAGGAAGCCCGGCAACCACAACACTAGCATACACATACCACCTCTGCTACACCGTAGCGCAAATGCTAAGCAGCGCTGGTCTCCAATCTCGTCAGAGACAAAGCCCACACCAGCCACACGCATACCTCACCTTCCCCGCCACAGCCCAACAGACGGATCCCTGCCAGCCGTACCGTGATGTATGTCCAAGTCGACGTACATAACTCTGGCGAATGTTCCTCGAAGTTCGTTGATCGCCAACACGATGTCGTTCACGTAACAAAAGCCGCTGGCCGCGTCCCTGCGACGCGTGCCTGCCATCAACCGACTGCCCGATGGCACCTCCCAGCAGTTGGTTCATCGCCATTTGTCTGCATCATGCCAGCAGTTCTGCCCCTCGACTAGAAGGGTGGACCCCAGGTATCATGGAAGCATTGCAATATTGGATGCCAATCCCGGGTTAAGCATCTAGACACATGTCTGAATGCGATCGCTTAAGCCCACCGTGATACACCTGCGCGAGAGCATATTCAGCGCTGTAATACCAGTAGCGCAAAACACAAACGCTGTGACGTCCAGCCAGCTTAACGGGCAAATCTCCATGCCATATTAATGCTACCCAAAATCATCACTACAGTGCAATGCAACATACGGGCTTGGTGAGTGCGTTTGCAAGCCAGCGGTTTGCTAGCCAGTTCGCAGCTCGTACACCAGCCGGTGACCAGTCGCTGACCTCTGGGCGTGGTGCCAGCCGCCGTTCCAGTTGACTGCCACGTCCACCTCACCCCGACAGAGGGCGCGGGCGGCGCACAACGAGCCACCAGCCAGGTGCAGGGCTAGGTCCAGAATGCCGGTCACCAGCGGGCAGTCGAACCCTGGTGGCGACACGGTGAACCTATACCGTCGCGCCTGCCGACAGAGCGACGCTGTGCACTGGTGCACTGGTCTGAGGTGAGCACACGAGGCCTTCTACGACCGAACAGACAACGCAACACAGGCGTCAGGAGCGAACATCGTTCGGCTCCCTGCAATCACCGTGCAAATTGTCCGGAACATTAGGACTCGCCGCAAAAATCCCAACGACCAATCCTGGGGCTGCACATTGTGTGTGTTACTGGGGCTTTATGTATTATGTCATTATATACTACGGGTTTTACGCCAAGCATGATAACTTATAGGAAAAATCTGGGCTGCTGAGGCAAAAGCCTGAGATTGCTGTGCGGTTCGAAACATACACGTCCAACATAGTCACGCACATTCCACCAAGCGTATGGCTAAAAAAGTCGGTACTAGAACTGCACACGTGTTTGGTCTCTTCAAACTGCATTCTCGAGGATCAGATCCTTGAGAATAGTTCTAGATTCACACTAGATTCTAGCGTCAGTACTAATCCATACATTCTCACCCAGACCATATTCGTCTAAATCATCTTCATACTGATCGAGATCCTTGCTCTTGTCAACTGACTCCAAGAAATCCACATAGTCGCTGGAATGAAAGTTTCGTAGATCATCCACTTGGGCCACCTCGCAGCCGAGCGGTACCATGGCATCAATCAGACCAAACGCGCTGAGAAGCGCGTGCACCATAGACGCCTGCAAACAGGAGCATCGTAAGTGCATGTGCACGTGTAGTGCATTGTGAGCGCCCGATGGCACAACGCCGGCACTTCCTTGAGGTAAATGAGGAATGGAAAAATCGTATTGACGCGAGTTACGTAGACAGCTACAGGAATTTTTACTTTGCACTGTTATCATTTTATACAGCTTTAGACACGCCACGGTCCTTACGTGAGGTTAAAATGTGATAGTGGTGCTTCGTTATCGCTGTCTTTTAATCCGAAACATCATTATCGAGGACGAGATGCAGAGGTGGCAAAATGTATGTAGGTGTAGGTTCGAAAAAGATTGAAGCCTGCTCTTTTTTCGGAATTTTCTAGTGTTTCGGAACAACGAGACCAGGATAATTCTTTTAGGGGCCAAGTGCCCTTAATTTTTGGTGAATAGGTGTCTTTAAAAAACACACTGCCAAGAGTGGGAAAGACAATATAATTGTATGCATGTTGTAATAGCTGGTAACGTCAGCTAGCCAGATAGAGCGCGTCGAAACGTCGTAATAGCAAACAAGTAATTCATGGAACAATACAAACAACTGCACTTCAATGCAAGAAACCCATTACTTGCCCGATGTTGAAGGTTCTGGATCCGGTCAGCCTGCTGTAGAAGTTCTCTGCTATACACATAACCAACTTGCAACGGGCCATGTTTTTTCTCCTGTAGGCTCATCTACAAAAGAACAAAAGCATACAGATAAAACACACCACAGCCAAGCTCAGCCCCTGAACACAACCATGGGTGAGATAACAAGTGCACCAAACAATGAAGGCAGGTTGGTGGCTTATTCATCTAACCACATGGCTATGTAGCTGTGGCAGGGGCTGAGGCTGGTCTGGTTTAATGCGCACCTGGGTGGCAGGTTGAACCACAGATACCATATGTGCCATTCCTAGTAAATGGATGGGTGTCATACAGAGCACGCTCAGCTGGCTGCAGTGTCTTGTTGCACAGGGATCAGATTTTTTAAGCATTCTACTGATGCTTACCACAAACTGCACCACACTGACCAAACACAGAACTAAACTCACATGTTGGAGTTAATGGTAGATTTATGCACATTGTGCATGGAGTGCAAATTACACATGTAATTACTTAAATAATTGCAATTGGAGGAGGTGATCTAGTATGTTATAATAGTGTGTCATTACTACTACTGATTAATTGACCTATATTAAACACCACCATTCTCTGAAGTACCACCCTTCCTTGGTACCCAAATGACCTGCCATACTAGCACCAGCAGTCTCAAATTGGCAGCTTGTTGCTCGC